AGCCACTGGCGTTATACAGGTGCCTGATCTAAACAAGAGTAGACACAATGGCAGTGCGACCGTGTGCTGCTTTACCTTGCTCGTATTCATCATGCGGTAAGATAGGGACAGATGTATAGGTATGGGAACGCTTTTCCCACCATGAGGACTCAGCAGTTCATACTAAAATAAATGGGCTGGCCATTGATACAGCTTTCAAGTTCTCTTTCTAATCGAAAGAACCTAAGAAATAAACGGAGCGCCAATCTCGATGGAGTGAAATCCTAAAAAGCAGCATTCAGCAGATTGAGCTACCTCACGATTCCCAGTCCCCATTAGCGACTTGACATCAAACATCGCTATGCACTTTCAGAACAGCAATATTCCTGCCCATGGCACAGTCCGATCTAGCTGCGAGCCGCGCATGTCACCAGGCACGTGCGCACTGTGTGCTCTCCTAATCAGAGGTCGCCGAAGCGTGCGCGCCGGCCTCGTTCATGGTGCACGCCGCAGCCGAGACGCGTCGAACGTGCCGCGAAGCGCCGATTTAGCCGCACGGCGCGGCGCCCCACAGCGAGGCGTGACCAATCCGGCGCCCCTCGTGCGCCGTGAACAGGTAAATCACGGACAGTGGCCGTCGGTCCGGGCCGCTCCCATTCGGGGTGCCCGCGCCGGCTGATTAACGCCACGGAACTGCCACGCCGCACTCATCAGCGGCTCGTAACGAGCGGCCCGAGCAAGCCTCGCAGCACGCGGGCGGACGTGGGCAGGGCTAGCGGAGGCGGGGGCGGGGGCGGCTGTGAAACCTGTCTGTCTGGAGGCGGGCCTCTTGAGCAGGCCAGAACATACCTTGTAAGCATGGTCTGGGCGTGGCGGAGTCCGGGCCGGTACACACTGTCGGCGCGAGACGCCTGAAGGCCCGTTCAACTTATGAATGGGATGCAGCTGGCGCGGGAGACGGGGTTGAAGTCAACCTCTGAGTTTTAAAACTTGATTATTATGCTTACCGACGTTGACGCACATTATGCATATGCTTACATACGACAATATATCGCCGGCGGTATTTTTTAACGAAATACTAGGGGAAGCGGGGGTAGCACCGCCATGTGGGAAACACCGCCATCCTCTCTATCGGCAAAACTCTGAATTGTAAATGTAAACACCCGCCATTTCGGTGTCCGAACGGAAACGGGACGCCGCGTGAGGTAGGTTTCGCTAAGACTTATTTGATTTTGGGATCGCAATTGCCCATTTTGTGAATTTCAAACCATCGTTGTAATCATTTGGCATGTTTTAGCAGCACGTAAGTGGTCATTTCAAGTCAAAATGCCTTGATTTTTACGTTAAATTTGAGGGCATGAAGTGCTCTTCATTTAGAAAGGAATTACAGAAGAATCGCGTCCCGGCTTGTTTTGCTGTCGGGGCGTTGTCGGTCCATGACTGTGAGTGGGGTAACACCGCCATGCTCGGCGGTGCTACCCCAAGGGGTGGCAAAATGGATAAAGCCGCAATGATGATTCACTCAGCTCGGAGAAGAGCTTTAGTTAGGCCGCAAACGTTGTCTGTTTTTTAACCTCACGTTTGACTTCACTGGATGTTTCGAAATAAACGTAAATTTGTCATGCTTTGTATGCATATTGTCCGCAACAAACAGTCTGATCTGTGACAAACTAACAGCCAACTCTTGTGTGTCTTATATGAGTTTGAGTTACTATTTCAGACAGCAGTAACGCTTCCAAGGGTGCCTGTCACCGTAAGGCCGATCTGTGGATAACATCGCCATCAGTGGCGGTGCTACCCGCACATTTTTTGGAGGACGGAAAATGCAGGACTTGTTTTCAATGTCTGTAAAGTAGCGAAATTTTATAATGGAGCGCTGGAAACTATGCCAACATGCAGGAAAACATTCCTACTTTCACATGAATGCAAAAGAGCTTCGTTTTTACTACGCATATCAGCTCGGTGAGCAGAAATGCTTAAGGTGGCGGTGCTCCCCCCGCTTCCCCTATATGTTCATTTATTACCACACATTACCACACTGAGTGTCTGCTTTGACAGCGGTGATATCAGAGCGCGACCAGTTCGCTGGTGCTAGCTGCTACGATGTCGCTCAAAACCAGGGCACTTGTGGTGAACTTGCCGCCGCTTTGATGCGTACAATGATTGCAGCAACACATATACCCTGACGCCATAAAACACAGAGAAAGCACTCTCTGTCACCGTGGTAAGCTCTTGGCGACGTCATTTCCTTCTTGCCGCCTTACATCACACAACACGAAATTCTCACATAAGCTTTGTAGCTGTATGGACGTCACGGAACGGAATCAAAATAAAAACATCAATAAAAAGTGTGGTTCTGACCAAAACTCCACCATGAGATTATTGCGGGCAGATTTCTACTGAAACCGAGTGTTTCTAAGCCGCAACAGCGTAGCATAGCTTAGTGATCATAAAATGCGACTATAGCTATTCAGGTTTCCAGTTCGAGTCCTTCCTTTCAATAAGCAGTTTCAAGCTGCGCTACAAAGCATCAGGAGCTTTTCGGAACCCTCAATTCAACTCACGTCTCACGTTAACAATGCCGTTCGAACAGCTAGAGCAATAGAACCGGGCTGCATTATAATTGCATCGTATACCTTTGTAATCTTCTTTTATCCATCCCCGTCCCACCGAGCACTGATCCTGCCCATCCCATCTCATTTGGCCCCAGCAATCCCGCATCACTACCGTGCCGATCCGTTGTCGTTCCGAAATGCCCACATCTCTCCTGAGCAAGCGCCGAGCCGCTCCAAGTCACGCATGGCTGGTGCGCCGTGCACGCCTGTTATTCCGAACAGCAGGATGTACTCATCCCGTCAGCGCGACGCGTGGCTCTGTGAGAGCGCGTCAAACCAGGTCGCCACACTCTTTTGGCCTCGAAGATAGGTGGAACGCCTTCGATTCGTCCAATTCACTTGGAGGCGTCGAGAGGCGTCTTTTCACGGCGTGGCGTGGCGGCTGATTTCGAGGTTCGGGATTCGGGTCGGACGCGCCGACCGCCCGGGGAAGCCAGCGACCGGAGCGTGTCACCAGGAAGACGGACGAGCAGGAACGGCTGACTGATGCGATGTTCAGCGGCCGCATTACGTATGAGATCGCGAGAAGAGTTGAAGAGGGTGGTTTTGTCACGTCTGGAGGAAAATTGATGACCTTCGTCTCAGGAGAGGCTCAGTTTTCGTAATGCTCGTGACGGACGCCGAAGATGTTCCCTTAGAGGGCGGAAACTGCCGGGGTCTGATACCAGCCATGACATGACAGGACGGTGCGCAGCTGGCGGCTGATTTGGGACGCGTCGACGGACGAAAACACACGATAAATCGTGCTGATCGTGATTAATTGTTGAGGTGTGACGTGTGGCTCGTAATGCGTCTTCTGTCGTTTCCATTTGGCCAAATACGGGCGCACGATCAATTCACAGGCTTGGCTTTCACAGGCATACATAACACATGGTATAGATTTCGGTCTGTCACCCAGAAATGGAAAAAGAAGGCTGCTGGGAATACATAAAGCGCACAGCCTGTGTGCGAATAATTAAATCAAAACATTGCATTGACCTTAACTGTTTCTGTTTCTAAGAAGCCTCAACATTACCAAGATAACGGAGAGGTCATAGGAAGGCCCCTATAGTGCTGGTAGTGTACTAAATTAGTCCGGAAAAGGTCAGCAGGGTGTGCAGAATAGCCGGCTCCGGGGTCTGGAATTACACCATAACTCAGCGGAATAGCATGTCACCATGAACTGCGCGGCGCCTCTCTGGGAGACGGGCGACCTCTCGACCCACTGCGCCATCACCGCTAACGAAGGAGCATATCGTCCACGTGGGACCGCGGTACCGTGGAGGTGAGGTCCGCCGGCAGATTCTCAGGAGCGCGACTTCCGCTGCCGGGTCGGCGCAGTGATCTGACCTCGACCTTGCAACCCTGCCCGCATCGCTACCGCACGCAGCACGTGTGAGAATGACACGGGGTGTCGTGACATGAGGACGTCTGAACCTTGGGGAGGGAGACGTTGGAGGTGGGAGAACAAGATCTTTTGGAGGAGACAGCACTGGCGGCACACTGCACAGAAGCTGAAGTAATAAGATGGTGATGTAATGTCCTTTGAAATCTTGCCCCGTCATAATCAGACTGACAACAATGAGGATAATGGGCAACAAAGAGCTACCGCGCTTCAAAGCCGCTGTGATATGGACCTGGCGTGACTAACACGACTTGCGCGTTTCTTTTTGTAAGTCAAGCGAGTACCATGTAGCCACTTGGCGCGCTCATAAATCCTTATTACCACATCATCTTTTCAGCAGTGCGCGTCGACGTATGGCGTGCATACGAGTATACACCACTGCTCACTGCACTGCCGTCGACCGTCGTCGCATGATGGAACAGACACAGCCTTCCGCGCGGCGGAACCAAAACAAAGCCGATCACAATGGGGGCAACGCGGCGAGTGGTGAGGTGGGCCCACGTCATTCAGCCTTTGATGGCCACCGTTCCGAACTGGCCCTTCCGGTCCGGCCGAGGAATTAGGCACCGGGTGCGGGGTGCTGGGGCGGCAGAGGGGATTACGGCCGCTGAGCCGCTAGTGGGTGCAGTGAGGGGGCACTTTCTCTGGCCGCGCACGCCCGGTGTGGTCATGACGATCGGTGCCGCCGCCACGGGCCACCGCCGGGGACCTGGCGTGACTCTCTCCGGGCCGCGGGCGTGCCCGACCCCGGCCGGCGTCGGCCCTCATCAGCCGGTGACCCGTGACCCCGGCCGGCGACACCCGTCATCAGCTGTCCCGTCACATGATCTCGTGACCCGACGCGAGGGTGTTACCCTTCACAGCCAATTCCGGGCGGTCCACGACCCACCTAATACTCAAACCAGGTTTCGTAAATCACAGACACACACAGTAAATTGAGCCGAAAAACGATCACCCAATATGCAGTGTGGTAATGTCGAGCCACTGCTATGCTGTAGCTGACCGAAGGCGTCTTGTTTCAGGCACGGACCACATCGACGTCAACAACTACATGTCGGTGCTGGATAACGGGATCCTGCTCTGTCGGCTGGCCAAAATCATCGCCGATCGGGCCGCGCACACACATACGCTGACGGTAAGTTGCTGAACTTTGTTGTCACTATAAAGGGCACTTTGAGATGGGCTTCTTTCCTAGGCGATTGAACATAAGTTAGACAAGACATGTTTGCTGTTAAGTAATTGAACTACATTCCCCGAAAAACATTGCAAGGAAACAGAAAACAACAAAGGGTTTGGACACGCATTCCCAGGTCTTCAGAAAAAAATGAGAGATATCTCGGCAGACGGAGAATGAGAGCTACCTGAGGCTCAGCGAGCAGTTTCACAAAACCACACCTACGCACTACGGCCTACAAGTGCGCATCATAAACTGAGGCCGTGCGTTTTTCACGAACAGCGGCTGTGTCATTAGTCGCCTCCGCTGACCGCCTCTGTGGCATCCCGGATGAGAGAGACCATATCCCGTATCCCGCGTCCGTGAGAACGCCAGATTTTCGCCACGAACACGATGTGGTCAGCTTCTGCCATCTAACCGTTCATAATTGCGTCGCCGCAAATGCCGCTGCACTCTCGTTTTCACAACGCCGGCGAAACGCCCGGCTTCGCGTGGTTTGGCGTCTCGACATGCCACCCTCGCATTGTTTCGCCGTCTTTTTACGGAAACATCCGGCGTCACCGACATATTCGGCCCACTTCCAGTTGCATTCTGCTGCGTTTCTTTGGCAGGAAACGAGCGAAAGTTGAACGGCCGTCTTATTGAAAGGCAGGCAGCCTGCGTCGCGAGGCAATAAGCCACTTTGTAACCGGTCTATCAGGGCACAGACCGGCTGCCTAATCAGATCGAACATCTTATATACTTTTTGTCTTTTGCTTGAAAGAACACTTGCGATTTTCTCCGAACCAATCAATCATGACGATAGAAACCGAGGTGAAATGGTATCGCAAAAAAGCGACATAAGTGCGATTGCGTCCATCTTACACAAAACACCAAGCATAACTTGCCGGTCGTTATTACTGAGCCTTTTAGCTCAGTAACCGTAAATCAATGCGGTCTCATAACTGTCGTGAGCCAAAAATTGAACAGTAAAATCACTCAGCCAGGTATGATGTAAAAACGAGTGTCGTAGAGATCGGCATCCTCATACGGAGAAGAGGGTTCAGGGTATCTGATCCACTCGACATGAATGCAGGCGTATCTGCCCGTATCGATGTTCTCTCAATTGTCAGCATAGCTTGAATACTTAGCTATCATATTGCGACTACTCTGGGCTTGTGAAGTCTACTAGGTAGTAGGTGTGATTGTGCTGGTGGAATTTTTCTTCCCATAATTGCAATGTTATGTTCCCGATGGAGTTTTGATGCAACTGTTCCGTATGGAGCTGTATTACGACACATAAATCCCAGCGCAAATCGGTGTCTTACCCCGTTTCGGTGAGTATTTTAGATAAGACATTGCACCACGGAGTGGTATCTAAAACAGAGCATCGCAGTGCCTGGCAGATGGCCCGGTTCCGGGCAGCATTCTGCGCCATAACACCATCTACTCCGTCGTCCGGGGGTGGTGCAGCGGTCCGCGGTCCGACTCGTCTTTGATGGCGAGATACAGGGTCGTTGACAGACCGACACACTACCGGTGGACGCAGACCTCGGGCACTGCAGGCCCCACGCGGTAACACACGCACAGATTAAAGTTAAACTCAACCAAGGGTCAAGAGGGTCGAGTGTTGTCTGTTAAATGCCTCAGGGAGCTCTGGCTCTCAAGGATCAATGGTGCTTCATTGAACAATGGGCATCGATTAGTCCAATGCCACATGATGCGTTCATGAACTGTAGGTTGTCACAATGTCACATGTCACATCCTTCACTGCTCATATTCGCTGACTCGTCCGATCTCTGCTACAGATGCCGCCGCCGACGTTCAAGTTTCGCTGCTGGGACCGAGCTCGGCCAGGAACCTTCTTCGCGAGAGACAACGTCTTTAACTTCCTGCAGTTCTGCAAGCTGGTCGGCTGCCAGGAGAACTTCCTCTTCGAGACGGACGGACTAGGTGGGTCAGCTGAGATGAACGACTCCTTCTCTTCTTTTTTAACTGTATGAATTAATTGATAAATTTAGGCTAATTCAAGCCCACGCCACATCTTCATAGCCCGAATGAATGAATGACAGGAAAAGACCAAAAGTCTCCCGGTGTTCTTTTACGCCATATCGATTATCGAATCTAACGGAGCAGACCCATTTGTTTCAAATCCACCTCGGGCGGGCGATTGACCCCGTTCGATGGCCACCCAGGCTCAGACGCCACCTCCCTCCGATGTTGAGCCCCAAATCGCAGTCATCACCGCCACTCCCGGACCCGGACGCGGCGCCGGCCGCGAGCGATCGCCAAGGTCCGATCACGAAGGACGCCACTGGCCTAGGTGTGGGCGGATCAATATCACCGACGGTATAGATCTAACCATCGACCGTGCACGCTTAGGTGACGTCTCACACTGTCTGTGCACAACACTGTGCACGCTTTGCACAGACGCGGGGCCGTCTGAGTGATACCGTGACGTGTGGTGCCCTCAGGCGACACGCGATTGATTGGTGATAGACCCGTGTCACGCCCCGTGACCACCTGACATACACGAGATGAATCGTGACAAATTCGTGACGTGGCGTGATGGGTTCGTGCCAGATCGTCGCGGGATAGATCGCAGTTAAGAGATGAAGGTTACGATCAAGGTCGTTCCGTCTGCAGGGGAAAGACGGCGCTACATAAATCTCATAAACAATATTTATAACACGATCTCTCTGGATGAAACTCCGCCGCGCCATGCTCTGGCGCCGCAGGATCATGATGTACGGCGTCGCGAGTCGAGGCTCGGCCGTCCGGGCAGCCTCGATAAAACCATAACGCACCGTGACGACACGAGCGACGCCTCGCCGTCACGGCGAGTGTGATAACGAGGAATCGTGACGCTGTACGGGTGGTCCACGGGTCACCCGGCGGTGCGGGGGTCACATCAGATCACCGCCTCACGCCAGGCGCCGAGTCGTGACGGTCCGACACCCGTTCGTCACCTGGGTGGACGTCTAAATATAGCAGACTGAAGCCACAAGAGGACAGTGGAGAAGCCGACCATCGGCCATGACCCCTAGACAGAACAGGAGCGACGGCTGTGACGACGTTAGGTGGTTAGTTCGGGGCAGTCTCGGAGCGATGTCGGGCCGATGTGAGCTCTGTGGAAGACGCTCATGGCGTTGTCCGTCGCTGTCCGTCGCCGTCGCCCAGGGCCGGGGCACTGACATCGGACGGACGTTCTCACGCGGCAGACGCTGGCACGTGAATTATGGAGCGATTTGTCAGTGTGCGTCGGTAGCGTAAACAACTCCAAGCGACAAACAGTCCCAGTACTTGGCGACCGGCGCGCACGAACCCGGGACATCGGGGGTTCGGTCGAAGAAGGCGATGCGCGAGTTCAAGTTAAACGTCCTGGCGTCGATCAAGGAAAAGGTCCGCACTAAACTATCGGCTCTTGCTTGGTAAATGTTTGAAAAGCTGATCTGAGTGTGAGAAGAAGGATGTTTTGACAAGATGTGGTTTGCTGGCTCACGCAGAAATTCGCCACCATGTAGGTGGTCATAAATAATGGATGATTCTCACGCTACGCTCCAAGTATTCAAACATATGCCTGGTTAACCGACTTGCTAATAACTGATGATGAGCTCCAGAAAGCCACGGAAACTCGCCGAAGGAGTCGTCCTACATCTGAATAACAACGCAAATCGTTTTACTTATCTGATTCAGAAAATAAAACGCACAAATAACCAGCCCATCAAACGTTACAAATCGGTTGACTAAAGTCTGAACGTCAAAAGATGGGACAAACGGAGGAGTTTTACGTATGAATAAAACGTTCGAGTAGATTTACGCGATATCCTCCCCTGCACCAGAACACTCGTTCTATGAACAGGCACAGATGACGTATCGCTGAAAGTGCACATGTTTGTTGTGATATAAACGACAGGGTGACAAGAGCCAGTACATCCCTTCAACAGTCGCTAAGTGACCAGATTATTCGCCGAAAGCCGCGTCAGGAAGCCTGCTGATAGACGATGGATCAATGGCCCGGCCGTCAAAACGACTGTCTGTCGTACCTAACTACTATATAACGTCAACAGTCGCGATGCAGTGATGATTCAGTCGACACGTACTCTCTCGCTCACTCCTCAGAGCGTAAGTACAAGCTGAGCTTGCTTCATACTGAACGTAAGCGGCACCGTCTATTCTCACAAAGCTATACGTTCACGGCGTACATTGAAGGTGGATGATGTGAAGGTGGATGTAGACATATTATAGAAAGTAGATACTCGCATTATCGCTAGACAAGTGTACTGGGTAGACACGGAGCCAATGTGAAACAGACATACAGAGTCAGACATCTATCTTTTATACAGATGTCAATGAGTCAGTCTCGTAATCAAATCCCAGGGCCTATAGGCGATCACTGATACTATCTCATCAAGAACGTGAGTCCACTCGGACAGATTGCTGAGCAATCTATTTGGATCTGCGAGCCGTGACCCATTGACACAAAACTTGGCACGCATGGTAGCGATATTACACGACTCAATGTGCCTTATCGTAGCCTACATGCCTGGCCTATCTGACCCTTATATGCAATCCCCTACCTAGTACTGCCATACCTAATCAGCACGACCTCTCACAAACTCATGTGACTTTCACGTCACAGACGATGCGTGTATGTAGCTTGGGCTATGCTGAAGCGCTTTTGCGCCGTCACATTACAATAACGTCAGAAGGAATCAATCATTTCCTAAATGTAGATGACCAATGGCAATGTCTCCTTTGCACCCCCTCTCGTACTCTAACCCCTACTGTCTCTCTCCCCAGTTCTACACACAGCTCCGCGCGGTGTGCTGCTATGCCTTCTGGAGCTGGGCCGGCACACGAGCACCTACGTGGAGCCGCCGACCCTGGTTCGCCTGGAGCAGGAGATCGAGGAGCAGGAGCGGATGGCGGCCGTGCGCGAGGGATCCGACTCGGGCTACTCGGACACGAACCAGGAGCGCGAGCGTAGCGCCGAGAGGGACGTGCTGGACGCCCGCTCGCCGCGGCCCACGTCACTCATTCCAGTCAGGAGGAGGAAGAGCGGCTCCCAGCGCAGGGGCGGGTAAGTAAAGGGGGGGGGGGGTAGGAGCGGGGTGATTGGGGTTTATGGACTTGCTGGGAATAGGTCTGTTACCGAAGGGGAGGGGAGGGAAAGAGGAGGTCGAGAACGGAGTCGGGTATATGATGTCTCATTGAAGAAGCGAGGATCGCTACTAACGGTACAGCTGGAGAGTACGGCTGACCGATGTGCCCATTCATGCGAAAACTGTTATATGGTGCCACAAAGAAAAAGTCCTAGTTGCCAAAAACTGTGCTAAGTTGTCAGCCATTGCATGCCGACAGCGGACTCACGAACACTCCATGAAAACATTGCCACCCTCGTCAGTCCACCCCGTTTTCTGACACCCTCCCCTCCCGCAGGACCACCTCGATGCCGGCGTCCGCGCTGACCTCTCCGGCCCACCACCGGTCCACGCCACGTCTGTCGGTGGCAGGAGCACCCTCGGGCGCCTGTACCCCGTCCCGCATACCGCGACCGCAGGGGGGCCGGGCGCACCTGGTCAGGGTGAAGATGGCACTGCACAACAGCGGCGCCGGAGCCGGCACCGGCGGCGTGCTCACGGTGAGAGGGGAGAGAGGGGATAGGGAAGAGGGAGGAAACTGGAGAGGGAGGAATATAGATAAATCAAGAGACAAGTTGTTTCATGAAATATCAGGTTCTGGGATAGGTGGGTTCATGTAGAAAACATGACTTGCGTTCTTATTGAGATTTAGTCTGAACATCACTCGTAGCTGGAAGCCGGGAAGACATTATAAAATGGGTAGTTAGCTGAGAGCACAAGATGGGTCACATTCTGGGTGGTTCCGAGTTCGGACACCCCTCATTTCGTTCCTATCTCATGCACATGGCGGCCTGATTTGCCCACAGAATGGTGGCTGATGGGGACTGGGAAGGCTAAATGAGATCAATCGATTAACCGCAGCATTGGTTCGGCAGGTGTTTCATTAATTGGTTCAAATACCATGTGGGAATGTCATTAGCATAATAATTGTGGCATTCGAAGCGTGAAATCCGATTATTCTAGCTCGGAGATACTATTGGGAAACGTAGGATTTCATAACAAATGCAAAGGTAATCGCTTCAGCGTTCATCGAACACCAAATGCGTGCGGACATTCAATCCAGACATTTACGAAACGAAACAAATTTGATCAAAATAACCGCATTTACTTCACTTCCTTGGGAAATTCCGCCCTGTGTTGCAAAGATGAATCCATTTGAAATGGGATATTGATCCCGGAAGTGACATTAATGCAGCTCTGCCAGTCGACCGGCCTCGTAAATACCCCATCTCCCAGAACTTGTTAAAATACGGCGCATCCAGCCGGCACAGCGCGGCGGCAAGTCCGCCGACTGCTGCCGTCAGAAGTTGCTCTCCAGGCCGTGTCGGCAGGTACAGAGCGGCCGAGGAGGTCCGGGTCGATTCCGGAAGGCCCAGTTCACCTCTCCCAGCCGACCAGCTCGTCGGATCTGCCCAGGCACCTCCGCCTGCGGGCCGCCGGGGTCTCTGGGACCGAGTGCTCACCCTCGGCCCGCCAGCGGTGCTCTCACACACCCACTCGAGGGCAGCAGATGACCTCTCTTCCCAGCATCGCAGGAGGACGTATTGATCGCACCCCTAAGGTCCGGCCGGAGCTGGCGACGGGCCGGAGCCGACAGGGCGATGGAAGCGGTCACGCCACCACAGGGGAGGGATTTATGCATTAGATGATTAAAGGGAGCGCATCACTGTGAGAGACAACTGGCTGATTTGGCTGTGACCGGGCGGCAGGTCACTGCAACCAGTTACATAGCAAGCAGTAGTCTCTGCAGCCTGTGGATGACATTTAAATCGAGTTCAAATAGACTGCCATTTATGAACATTATTTTACCAACCAGAGCAGCCGGACTTGGATGGGCCTCTACTGCATCCCCATTTTTAGAAGCGACTTTAATGCAGCCATAATTAACCATAATGCAGTCATTCGTAATTCATAACCACTGTCGCCGCCAGAACACGTTACGTTAGCAGCACGGCCGTTTTCACTCCATCGCTCATAATTCATCATAACCCTTCCACGCCACGGCTACCGACCAGTCACCCTGTCAGCTCCCTCTGACTGCCCCTCGCTCCCTCTAACCGCTCCTCTTTCCCTCTGACGGGGCTCTTCTGACCCTCCCCTCCCTCAGACCGAGGAGCGGACACAGCAGCTGCGGGAGCGGCTCCACCAGCTGGAGATGAGGGAGGCGAGCAGCTCGACGCCGCGCCGGCCGCACGCGCGGGCCAGCACGCCGGCCAGCTCGAGCTCGGTGGCGAGCACGCCCACCTGCCGTACCCCGACCCACGGCCACCTCTCGTCCAGCGGCGAGAACAGCCTGCTCGATAAAAAGGTACGGCACGACGGCGATCCCCCCACGGGGATGATCAAAAAGATGATCAGGATGATCAGGATGATCAGGATCAAAAACGGGGATGAGAACGCATGTGGGTGTATCGTTGAATTAGGTTATCAGTAAAAACTGAGCGGGTCGAGAGAGGCGTGGTACGGTAAATAATGCAGACAGCAATATCAGTCGGAGACAGCACGTGCAGACACTCTGTCCGCGTTATGGAGACTGATGGGAGAGCGGGGCCGGATAAATCGAAACATTCATCTTGTAAGATCCGCCTGGGAACGGTACTTTCGGCTAAAACGGGACCAGTCAGGGTGAATTGGTGAATAAGTGAGATGCATTTCGCGACTTCTAGCTCGGTAGCCTTGGCATGAACAGATGAATAAATCGGCCGGAATGGAACATGGAAAAATGAAGTGGCCGACGAGGATTCCTGTGGAATTGGAACCATTTCTAGCTGGTGCATACTCAACAAGTCGAGGCAGTGTCGGTTCTTTCCATATTTCTGTCTTGAGCCATTTATTCACCAGTTGAAAAATTGCTAACGACCCAAAGTTCAAACGGAAAGTTTAAGAAAATGGCACCCCACCCTTCGCAATTTAACTTTGGCCAGTTTCGAAATGAGAAAACGAGCGAACAGGGCGACTTGATAATAATGTTGCTAGGGCACGGGGAGCAAAGTTCTAGAAATAAAACCGGAGGCATCATCGGGCACTGGGCCATTCGATGCAGTGGATAGAAGCGGCAGCAGTCGCCGAAGGTGATCAGTGTGTGGGTCAACTGTTTGTGCTGTGCAGAACTGAACGAGCCAGTGCGCCGATGTGTTGCATTTAGTTTCCGCAGCAGCAGTCGTTGACATAAAGAAACAAGAGTTCACTTCAATTCAACAGGTGATAAATTGAAGAAGGCAAAGTTGAGATTCGTCCGATTAGCTATATGTAGCATGGTCACTGGTCAGTTCAGCGAATTATGCTACTTCGATGCTACTCTAAAGATAGTTGATGCTACAAGATGCTCATATTCGAAAAGAAATTTAACTGAGAGAACATTGAAGAATCTGAAATGTTGACCCCATCAAGAGCCGAGACAGGAATTCTGATCAATGCCAAATCTAGCAAAAGAGGTTTGCCCAAAGCCGACGTAAAACCCGCATCACCAAAACTCACCAATCCATCTAACCACTTCCCATCATCCAACGGCCGTCCCGTCCTCCACCCGCGCGCCGCGCTCCACCTGCGCCTCATCTGCCACGAGCTCTACCAGTGCAGTGTGCGCGCGTCTGACCATCTGCAGCAAGTTGAGCACAGTGTGTGCATGATGGAACGCCGGCTGAAGCACTTCGGGGAGGATCTGACCGCGTCCGACGAGCAGCTGACACTTCTTACGTCTCAGATGGCTGAGGTTGAGGAGGTCGATAGGGCTTGAGGACTGAGCTGAGATCTGGTGATCAACCCGATAAACGGTTCATTATATCAGACGTTTCACGCGACTGCCTGCCGGAAGACCAGCCCAGGTAACGGGAAAAACGCAAATATAATCATAAATGCAATAAGTTTCTTCGTGACAGGTCGAAGTCCACATCATTTTCACATACGAAAAATGTTGCGAGATAAGATCTAAGCTTCTCCAAGCCATTCATGCATGGAAAACCTCCCGGCAGCACTCACCCCGAGAGCGGCTTCCTTTCAATTAAAACTCATTCTCGCTCCGTCGCGCGGCCTTTTCACGCTGCCAGCCTTTGAAGCCCGACTCCCAGAGGCGCATGGAGCCAATGGTCGCGGAGCACAAAAAGGCCCAGTCGGCGACGGGCGGACAATGGGCCGCTGGAGCTAGTGGCGGCTCGGTGAGACCGACGGGCCGGTCCCAGTCCGTATGGCTGGACTCAGTTAGACCGTTAAAACCGCTACAGTGTAAGATGTATTTTAGAAGGTAGAAGAAACCGCTAAGGCGCGTTAACGAATATGTTTGTCATTGCTGTGTTACAAGGGTGATTAAATTTGTGATATGATATTAATACCGCCATATTCATTTAGGGAACCGACATACCAACACAGGGCAAACTGCACTAACGCTTCAACTAAATGAAAATGATTGCACCACGCCCGTCTGGGCGTTGCCCGGTTGTAAATCACCGTACTGATTTATGAATTGTTTTCGTCCTGTCACCTGAGTTAGCTTGTATTGTCACCAGCCCGTGTTGTGAACCAAACACCCACTGTTCGAACAGGCAACCTATATCGACGAGAATTTTAACGACCCGCCGGAGTAACAGCGTGTGACCTTGAAGTCGCATCTCCCTCGCTACATGCTTACACCATAAATCACTCCTCCAGTCCTACCACGGCGCTAACTCAATGACCCCGACTGCGACCTCCCTACGACCTTTCTGTGACCTCTTTGTGACCCGGTATGGAGACCTGTGACCTCTGTGACCGTGTGTTGACCTGTGACCCCGCGTGCCGCAGGTGCAGGAGATGGTTGAAGAGTCGGCGGCCGGCTGCAAGTGTCGCACCAACTGCATGGCCGAAGTACAGCTCAGACGGGTGGCAGAGGGGCAGTACAACGTCGCAGGACGCACCGTTTTCATACGGGTCAGTAACGTGTGGCTTTGAGGCTATAGTGTGATTTTTCGGTTCCATAACCATATGCAGTCTAATCTGAACAAACAAATAACTTCAATGAGGCAGAAATATTTCGAAACCCTTCCCATTGAACTCCACAAAATAACCGTTGACGGCAAAACAATGTTGTCATTTTTTGCTACGTTACCTACGTTACATTACTTCAATGTTCATCAGAAAAAAATGTAAAACAAATTGTGAGGTCGTCGGAAGGGCAAATTTACTACGAACTTGTCTTGTTGATCTTATTGAACGAATCAATCTTGCTGACCGTCCGTTTCCCTTCCGCAGCTGCTGAAGGGCCGTCATGTGATGGTTCGTGTGGGCGGCGGCTGGGACACTCTGGAGCACTTCCTGAGCCGACACGACCCGTGCCAGTCGGCCACGCTGCCTGGCTCGCTGGCCACGGGCGACAGTGACACCACCGAGATGTTCCTGCGCCTGCCGGCCACACCGCGCACCCGCTGCCAGGTGCCCTCCAACGGCTGAGCGGCCGGCTGGCCGGCGGTCGGTCCACGACACGGGTGTGATGACCGCGGCCCGGCCAGCGGCCGAGGTGGCCGCCGCGCCGGTGGACAATATTCTCAGCAGCCAATTCCAGTAGAGTTCCGTAGAGAGCACGTAGCTGGACGCTCTCCGGTTGTGACAGTCTTGTGGCGGGCGGTGCTATGCGCTGGGACACGGCGAACCGTGAGGCCGAAGCGCAGAGTTACCGGGTGGGCTGCTGGCAGGCGGCCGCAGCTGACGTTAAATCGAGCAGGGCTCAATAGCAGACCATAGCCAATAGCTTGCGAATCTCGGACACACCATTGTGCATATTTAGCTCCTTATAGTCAAACTTCAGTGCTTCGGAACCGCAGTAATAATCCCCTAAAACATTGCCCTTGCGTCGGTCGTCGGCGCTGCGCATCCCTCCCCCCCCCCCCCCAAGAAACCTACTTAGTGACGGCCGTCTATAGGAATACTGCCACGCGTCTGTTTCCCCAAGCCACAGGAGAGGCCCACCCAGAACGACGTGATAGTGATGCCAGCCACGAGCGTGAACGGTGCAATCTTCGGCGCGCAGGTGCGCCGTGTTTGTCTCTCCCTGCGCCGACGGCGGTAGGTGCCCGCCGCGTACATAGCTTGTCAAGATGCCATATAGGTGTGTTATGTTGCTCGCCGCCCCTTCAGGCGGAATCAGTTGGTTGTTCTTTCGTCAGGGTAGGTCAGGAGACCGACGCTCTTAGCTGCGCGTCATAATTCGCGCAGGACAGGCACGAATGCGCAGGTATGAGTGCGCAGAGTGAGAGAGTTGAGTTTTCAAAGTGAGTTGAGTTTGAAGCGAATGTTTGAGACGGTTGTGGAGCGCGGTAAGGGTGTTGAATGTTGATGTTGACTTCTTTGCAGCTAACAGGACGAGTTTAGACCGGGGCCAGGCTGAGTCCCAGGAAGTCGTACGTACTCGCTATACATTGCTGTTGTTTGTAATGCCATTTGAGGGACGGGAGGGATGTCGATGGGTCGTTTGAAGCGCATACATTCGCAGAAACATGCCGCATTTGTTTATATTCGGAAGGTTTAACTACTTGTACAATAAATACATAATAGGTTTCTGATGCATTATTGTTTGTGAGTGACGGGGCGAATCGGTGAGAGCTACGCTACACGTATGCTGAAGAAATTGAGTGTTTAATTACAGCTGAATTGAAACGAAAAATAATTTCCGTCAGGCTAAGAAAGGAAGAAAAAAAATGCGGCTGGGTAGAACAAAGAGATGAAACACCGCATCCTGAAATGAATTTTTCTGGACTAATATGCCATAGAAACGTGCAGGATTCCTTTGCGACGAAATGAACGGCAATTCACGAGAGACAAAAAGAGAAATAAAAAGGAACGCAACAAAATATGCAGCAGTCCCACGAAAATTTGTTGCTGTTTTGACTGCGCTGCCTTCATCGCCTGCCAGCATCCGATCTCGTCTAGACAGCGTTTTTCAGCGATGTCAGACAGCGATCGAATCCAAACATAATCAATGCAACCGTCAGCATTGGGCCCACATAATAACCCGCATTTGTTGGGACTATAGTGACCTAAATGCGACCTACCGGCGAATGAGGGTCACAAACAGACATGTGACAACTTCCGCGTAAGTCCAGGAACTCGCACTAATTCTACAGGAATCCATAGAACGCGCCGAGTCCGCAGGAACCCATCGAACCCCGTGGGTCACACTGATTCGCGACAAACCGCACACACTAACAAATGACGCCGAACAATATCCTAATTGACATCAGATGAAAACACAATGCAACGGAGGGGAGTGCCTATCTCACTAAGCCCTTCAATCAACACGACTGGTTGATAGATGAGTGTTGCGACAGAGAGGAGGGGACGCAGAGGAGGGGAGAATCGAGAGCGACAGACGCAGACGCCGACGTCGCAGATCCCCGTCAGACAATAAATGTCGAGTCGGGAAGGAGATGAGATATCGTCCAGTCGCGGCGCGGGCTACTCGCCATTCCGCGGAATTGGCAGTAGTTGAGCGAGCGGAACCCACGTGGTAAGAGCTCTCTCGTCCTGATAAAAGCTTGCAAAGTCTAGTTATTTGTTCCAAAGGAGACATTTTGACGGTGGAAGTGGAAAATAGAAATGGCGAATATGTGTTCTTGAAGGTCAAACGAGCACGTGGAGTTACCAGCCAATACATGCTTAGATGCATTGAATAAAAAAAAACGGCGACACAAAAACATACGGGTCATTAGCGTATGTAATAGAAGAAATAAAGAGAACGTGTGTGGGATTGTGGCACTGTAATGCCTCGGTGTAAGTTAAGAAAGACAACGACTTGCCGATAACCCTCTTCTTGTCTTCATTGCATTACAGGGTGTCCCATAAGTTCGTTCTCACCTAAATTTTACGTTTTTAGACTCTCTTGCTTAAAGGCACGCGCAAATTGGTTCGTAACTGAGCTTACGTGGTTGCCATGGCTGGTAGAAATATGCTCCACAGTAGCTAATTTCTGTAGACAAAATAGTTTTTGCTAGAGAGCCCGCTTCCTACAGAGACGGCTAGCGCCGCAACATAGAGGTCTCCGATACGGGTACGTCTCATTATTTAGTCAACACGTGACCATTCGCGACGATTGAGGGTGATTGAGGCCTACTAGTCTGTAGCCAATGCCCATCGCTAACTGGACGCACAGTCAGAAAGTGATGCCGATGATTTGTCGGGAGTCAATCACTGCAAGTTTATCCTCTTTCCAGTCAGCCCTCAGGAGTGAGCCAAGTGGCCAAAACTGTGTGGCGCCAAATTGGCCATCAAAATGGTCAAAGGGTTAGAAAGTTGGTAAGCAGACTTTTCAGGATGGATTACCAGCTGTCTAAGAGTGTTCTTTCGGGGTACATAACTCAATGTGACTTAAGCTTTGCTTACCGGAGGGCACAAAACAGTTAAAAACGTCTTAAAATGGCCAAACATGAGTTTCATTATGCCTGAGGCCATAGACAACAGTAGATAACAGTAGATAACAGTAGATAACAGTAGATAACAGTAGATAACAGTAGTTCTACTGTTATCTATGCTGAGGCTAAACAAAACTAGATGGCTGATGACATCAACCAGGTCATCTGGACTAACTAGTCCATGTTCGAGATGAAACACCCGTCCAAACCCGAAAACAACTCCATAAGGGCGAAAGAGGAGGCCTCCGTTTCGTCCCGTTATGTTCCTATGCAAAAGGCCAGGGTCACTGTGTTGTGGGGTTATAGGCGTTCTGGAGTTGACCAAGTTGCAAGTGGCAACCCAGAAACAGTTTTGGGAAACAGAATGCTTTTCCAAGAACATCTAGGAGGAGTTTCAGCCCTCAAGCTGAACTCGAACCGCGAGTATGAACACATTTATAGAGGAGAAAATGGCATCCGGGAGGTCGTAGGCCCATCTTCAGGCAAGACAGTGCATCAGTGCACAGGTCAAGCAAAGCTTAAAAGCGGTGCAAGGAGACTGTGACAGGCGTTTGTGGCAAGATCACTGGCCGTGCCAGGCACCTCATCGTATCAAAATTTCATAAAAATTTGTTGGTTATGCTGAAATTGAGGCTCGTCGAAGCGTAGCACTGTTCCAGCCTCGAGGAGCTCACGGCGCATGTCAAGTCAGTCTGGGTTAACTTTAAGCCTGCTATGCAGCCAAACATGCCGGTTGGCATGCCGCAGCATGTATTCATGTGTTTGCCTATTAAATGAGGAGCACATTGAGGGGTCATAAATATATCAAAACGCAATGTACTCTGTTTCACATGCAAACATAATGTGAGAACGAACTTATGGGACACCCTGTACTTTGTAGCGCAAATGATAGCAAAGCAGCACATATATTTACTGTATTGTCACGTTTAAAACCAGCGGTGCCTTTACATTTCCCGTATAAGAAAAATATCACAAGGGTCCACGTCAACAACAAAACAAGTTGAAAGCCGTTCCTCGAAACGATTCATTTCTTAGGCGCCTTTTCCAGTCCTTTTATATACTTCTTTGGCACTTTGTAGTCCTCTGCAAAAGAAATACAGTTTTCTCAGCAATGTTTCTGACAGAATGGTAACCATATACAAAACATTACTGGAATGCAGACAAGAAATGCAAATAAATGACTAAATACAATCATTCAACAGTTCTTTCATGTTTGTAACTGGGTTATTTACAAATCAAAGAATTTAAATAGTTAATGTTTCTGTCATCTTGCTTGTCTTCTGGAGTAGGTACGGCTATTATTGAAAGCAGAAGGAAAAACACAATTCTAACGAATGGTGTTTGTCTATTTCAAACAACCTGCTGTTAAGACGGGAGGGTTGCATTGGACTTTTAATGATTCCAAAGAAGGAGAAAGACAACACTTAAAGCGCCCATCCACAATTACCGGACCATACCTGACGGAAAAGCAAAGCCAATGCCTATCGGGCCTCGCACCTTGTATACCCATGTGGCACCTCGATTCCAGACCAAGTACAAGGAATTAGGAACCACACCAGCATGCAGCGAAGTTAGTAGCAGTTTCCTCTACTAAAACCTGAATGCCAAAATGCCGGGATGCAATTCAGCCCCAAGCATGGGACGCTAAGTCATGCATAATCCAGCCACCTCGAGTTGCCGCAGTCGTCAGTCATCCGATCAGGTTACGCCCCGCTGCTGAGATGATGCGTGGCACATTCATGTGGGATCCAGGCAGCTGAGAATAGTGATGTAGTTCCCACGTATCGCAAACATCCACGGAAACGGATCAGGAGCCTGTGATTGATCGGAAATGCGGCCCAGCAAGAAGCGTGTCCACAAAAAGCGACATGATTGGAGCAAAAACACCAAAGGTTGAGTGCGACGAATAGCGGAGAAGCGATTCATCAAGGCCATTTAACGCCCATTGTCTGTTGGTACAAATCGTGCGGGATAAAAAGCGCGTGGTAGTAACCATCATCACAAAGACTAGCACACACACAACAGGGTAGTAGTATACCAGTATCAGAGTAAGCACAATAACTGGGGAAAGTGGTTGGAAAATTACATAGTCCGGGTCTAATGGGGAAAAAATATAGAATCGTCCTTTGTGGCTTTGAAAGGAAACATTCCACAATACTCTCGTTCACGCGGCATGCAATCAAGCAAGTGTCAGCCTTCATAAGCTGAACACACCACAAATCCCTAAACACCACTCGCCACTCCAAGCCAGCATGCATTCCTCCCTCCACTCCCTGAGCCCCGTCACCTACCTTGGAGCAGTTTTCCGATGAAGCGGATCTGGTTACCCTGTACCATGACCTGACTGGTGCCGGGCGGCCGGTTGGGCGCCTCTCCTACGCTGGTGCTGGCCGCCACACCGACCTGGCAGCGGTGAGCGAACTCGGCCGGGTCGATACCGAACACGGGCAGGTTCAGCACCATCGTGATCTGACGGAAACGAAGGGCAGATGGGGTCAGAGATATAATGGGGCGGTCAAATGGTAGAAGGACGGGATTAAAGAGATGAGGGGTCAGACAACGGAGGAAGACGGTGAGAGGGGTGGGGAAAGAGAGGGAAGGTGGGAGGAGAGCGATCGTGAGAAAGGGAGAAAGAGACCTCGAGCCAGTGAAAGAAAGGACAGACTTAAAGGTAGTGTGCCAGCTTTCTTGGACCGTATGGAGTTAATGGCCCAGATAAGGAGAACCGGATTTTTAGAACTTATCCATACCTTCAAAACTCATGGAAACGTCTTAAATTCTTCAAATTTTGAGTACCCCAGTGCGAAATTCGCCCCGACGGGTTGTCGGTCGTACCCCAACCACATTTCACACCACTATGAACAATAAATGCACACACTGAAATCGCTATTACCGATATGCTCATCCAATCAAGTTTCGATAAACCCGTTCATCATCATCTCCTGCGGTTTCGAACACGCCTGTTAGGTGGCTTCTGATGCTCGTCGAGGTCGGAATTTCCAAATACGCGTGGTGCGTCGGGCCGCGCGCTCTGACTTCGGCCAAGAAAAATGCGTCAGCTGATCATTGTCATTTCTGCCACTTGCGTGTGGTGAAATGGGGTCATAACTTATAAGACGGCTTTTTCATATCAATTATTTTACATAAAATCATATTTCAAACCATAAATAATGTTCGACAGCCAAATAAAAGAAACAATACCAATACGGGCTTACAGTTTAAGGCTCGACATTGTGTTGTCTACGATTAGACAGCTGATAACTCATTCCCGTACGTCGTATGGTCGTAACACTATAATGACCTTTGCTTATTGTCACAAGTGCGCCGCATTCGCGATTGTTGCCCGACGCCTGTTTGCAGGTGAGCCCACTACAGTTGTTATACATATCTAAAAACCGATAAACTTTTAGGCGAAAAAGGCACTATTCCAGGCCCATTTTTGATTTTTTTTGCGATATTAGGTAAAAACAGAAGCTTCTTATCCTAGGAAAAATAAAATGGGAAAACTTTCAAAGGTGGCACACTACCTTTAATGTGAAGACGGAGGCACTCATTGCACGCTGCACCACTGACAACGCGTCATCATTGTCGCTGCAGCAGCCAGCACTCACGCGCTCGCCATAGCCATAAGTATCCGAAATGGAGCCATGTTGATTTATGGAGGTCCATCGGGTCAAAATGAAACTGCGTCTCATCTCGACTGGCCGCATCCGATGATATAAGCGGGTCACTAGCGCCCACACGGTCGTAAAAAGCTCCGCCCCTGGCCATTGTCGCCAATAGGTCTGCAACGATCAATGGGCTGGAGGCCGTTACCGCTGAGGGTAGACGGAACCCTACAGACGCACCTCGGTGGTCCTCAAACCCACGTGGGTCGTGCACCCCCCATCTGAGTTGTGAGCAGTGCGTCGTGCAGGTGATTAATGGTAGCGCTGTGCGTGCAGTGTGTGTGCAGAGCCCCGCACGGCAGTGTGGGTCGCATACTAATCGAGGAACTGAAACAGAAACATAAATACCACGTGGCTAGTGGAATGGTGAGCAGGAATGCCGCGACAGTGGAGTATGTTCTGTCGGCGCAAAACATGCAGAGGCTGATTTAAAGCCAAAGCCTTAGGACAGTGTTTTAGTGGGCCTATACCTGAGCGATAGGTAGGGTATGGTGTTCAAATGAGCGTTTCATATATTTTGTCGGAAAGTGTGTGCCATAAGATCCTCAACACTTCATTTTGACAAAGTCATGGCGATGTGTCGCTAGTAATAGCATACAAATCAATGTTACTGCGAGTAGGGCCGGCGCATCTGATTCTACAAATTAACCAGTCACCACCAGTGCCATCTATACTCTACACTTTGGAGTCTAGGCAGCCTGCTACATTAATTCGCTAATGTTTGAGCATGGACAAACGAAACGAGCGTCAAATGACGCAACTGTCAGTGGCCCATTGTCGGCTTTATGCTCTTCCATGTATGCTGTTCCATTTATGCACATATGTCTGACAAGACAGCCTTCTCACCTTTTTATTTCCCGACCGTGTCGCCGTGTTGAGCTCCACGCTGGGCACGGCTCCTTTCTTCACCACCGGCGGCTCGCCTTTGAACAACACCACGTGGCCGGGCGACATGCGCTGCATACAGCGCTGGTGCAGCTCGTCCCAGCGCAGCGATTCCACCAGACCCTCCGACTTGTTGGTCAGACACGAGGCCAGTGTCGGGTCCAGTTGTACCAAGCTGGCGGTGGGGAAATTGACAGTCAGCAGAAATAAAGGAACATTGGGTCAGACGGAACACATCTTCTTATCAGCGAAATCTCACCCTTCGGCTGTATAATACTCGCTATAGATCTCGACTTTTACTAGATGGACGGTCGGCTTTGAGACGAAGACTCAGGAATTGACGCAAATAATTCACAACAAAAACAAACGCCTTCAGCAATGGCTTAGCATTTCAATGCATACACACATGTAAGGTTACCAACATTGAGTGATCAGTATCATAGAGATCTTATAATATAGAGATGCCCTGGTACTAAAAAACCTAACGTTTTTTGGGCGTTTTCTAAGCAAGAAATTCCGCTTTTTAAATACCGTGATTTCTGTTTGTACCCTCTTCTAAAAAGAAAATGAACGATAATAATTCGTATTTCTTGATTATATGAAGTGTATGAAAAAAAATAAAGGATCACATCAGTCCACTTTAAACGTTTTTGTTGCAATAATTTCTTATGTTCTCGGACACGTCGGACACATCCCAGGATATGTGGATTGGAATTGAAGTTGACGTTGGGAATTGGGATAGCATTGAAGTGGCGCTGTATTTTTCAAAGTTCGTTACTTGATTTCTAATTTTCTATATTCTCGAAATATCTCGAAAACGGCGGCGCGCAGCGCCACCGTTTTTGGTACACCTATTCATACATCATTTTCGCACATGTGAAAATTTCAGACCCGGATCGTTCAAGGTTAGGTCACCAGGTCACGTCAAGTGACCTTACCTCAGAAAAAGTTCGAAGGCTCGCTATAGCTATACCGACTGAACTTTGAAACTTTCAGCGATTGATATGAGTAACAGTAGGGGAGAGTGGGGTAAGACGCCCAGGGTGGGAAAGACGCCCCACCCCCTCTAGCGGCGAAACAAAGAATCGAACCCGGAAATTAATGTTCTTAGCGTAAAGCGGAAGCCTGCCTTGTTAACTGCACAAAAATTTGCTAAGCTCAGTTGGGCAGCGGCTGGCTGGTGAATGCATGTTTTTTATTTGCTGCTTTCAAAAAATATTTTGGTGTCAAAAAATTGTAAATATCAAAGAAGGTAGATAATTTTTGCGTCCCTTGATATAGTCGTGATACATTAACATGCGTGTACTGTGTCCCAAACAGTTTGTTTCAGGGTATAGTTTTATGGCTAACAAATTGTACTGATTTAATGTTACTTCGGTACCATGGGGTAAGATGCCCCCTGTCCTGATGGGGAAAGACGCCCCCCTAAATCCCTAGGCTGTCCTTCAAGCAGCCCGTCAAATCATTACGGAGCGAGCGAAGCGAGCGGAGTCTTACGTAGAATAACGGAAATTTCTGAGTATGAGCGGCCGGCCGGCCGGCCGGCCGGCCGGCCGGCCGGCCGTGCGGACGCTTTTGCGAGGCTTATATCTCAGCAACCACTTGACCGATTTACACGCGGTAATTTTTATAGGGTAGCTTCATTCCTTCTACCAAGTATTGGACTATTCCCGATGCATGTGGGTGACCCCTTATGCACGTGCCACGTGCAAAACGAAGAGGTGTCAGTTTTGCAATTGTTGCAATATTTCGGTAACTACTTGGCCGATTGCGCTGAAAGTTGGCATGTAGGTAGGCACCCACTAGGCACTGCATATCCATGTGCCAGAGTTGGGGTGCTGCTGCACGTGCGCACGTGCAGGGGTCGTTTCCAGATCTCGAGAACGGCTGGACCGATTGCGCTCAAATTTGGTACACAGTTAGGGACCGGTTAGTAGGGTGCCGTGCAAAAGCCAGTCGGGACCCATTTTGCACGTGCGCACGTGCAGGGTGCCGCTCCCAGATCTCGAGAACGGCTGGGCCGATTGTGCTCAAATTTGGCACATCGCTAGAAACCGGTCAGTAGGGTGCCGTGCACAAGTCAGTTGGAGGTACCCCTCGAAATTTCGCACGTGCAAGGCTCACCCTCTCGCTCGCTCCGTTAGTCGCCCCAAAAGGCGCTATACTGGTTTATTACATGCTTGTGATGAGAGACAAAAGCCGATCTGGGACTATTGAGAGTCCAGTACGGTCGGGTGCTCCCCATGCCGGTCTCTCGGCACACGCAACGACTTTTTGGGCGGCATCTGACTCTGAGAGCCCTCACGAAGGCCTCTGTGGGCCCCATTATTGGCTCCAGGGCCCCTCACGACATCCTTTGAGGGCTCCCACGTTGGCTCCACGGGCCGCGCTGGCATCTGAGGTCACCACGATGGGCTCGAGGGCCCTCAAGCATCATGAAGACCTATAAGGGCCCCACAGTGGTCTCCAAACGCCACCACGGAGGCTTGTTTGGCCGCGCTGGACTATGATGGCCCTAACGATGACCTCTGAAGCCCCTTACGACCACTTTTAAGGGCCCTTACGATGACGTTTGGTGTCTACTGCAAGCTCGAAGGGACTACTGATTCGTCCAGGCAATTTACGTGCCTATTTATGTCAGTTATAGTGCAGGGGGCATCTTACCCAACGCCAGGGGGCGTCTTTTCCACCCTGTGGGGTAAGATGCCCCCTTTCACTTCTTCAGGAAAATGCTTAATAGCAAAAAAAGTTATCATATTTCAGGCACGAAAGTGTGATATTTTTGGAGAAAAATGATGTCGGCTTCCCTTGAAACTCCAAGTTTTTGCTTTTCGATCGTCATTTTTGAATAATATATGACATAGTAAAACCCTGGGCATCTTTCCCCACTCTCCCCTATGTATAAAATGTATATCTCGGATTTTTGATATCTGTGACCTAAGGTCAGGTCAATTTTGCGACCTCTACATTATAAGTCAAGTGGGAGGGAGAAAATTATAAGTGGGAGAAAATTGAAATGCGCCTCTTTTGGACGAATGTCGTTCAAAACGCTCTCAAACATCGGTTCATATGTGAACATGACACACTGAGTCGGAAAAATGCACCTGTGACCCCTCTGGATGCCCCTGAGGTCATCTCAGGTCATGAACGCCACGGTCACGAGCATTTTTTTTTTTTGCTATAGCTTTTGATAGAGACGTGCTAGAGCAGCGAAAACACGTCAGATGTGTTCAGCACGACGATACGGATCGACTGATATGCAACATGACACTTCTCGGTCCGGTCATGACTTTGACCTGAGGTCAAATTTCCAAAATGACCTTTCAAGGTCAACAAATAGTTCATTCGACGCGTCTCGATAAGAGGAACACGATGCTGCCAAAAATAATGTCATGGCTCTCTTGAGTCAAAAGTAATTGCCGAAAAAAACATTTTCGTGAAAACGGCTATTTTTACAGTTTTTGCCCTCTGGAGGCTAAACCGTTGACCTGAGGTCAAATCTGAGAGCACTTTACAGAAAGTTGTGCAAAAGGGCTATCGAATGCGCTTTTCTGCGGCGCTGTAGCTCTATTGGTTCCCGAGTTAGCCGTTGGCAGTTTCCAAAATTAGTAAAATGGACTAAATTTGACCTTCGATGACCTCTGGTGACCTGACCTTTGACCTGACTTTAAAAAATGACCGAAGTATTTTCTTTTTTGTTTGTGATGCTCTTTCGATTGCCGCTTACCGCGTGTCGCCACGTGGCCCAGGAGCCGAATTAGATGGGGGGGGGCGTGAAAACGTCCCCCCTTCCCAGCACTCGGCGGAAAGTTCATCCCACCGGCACGGCGCGGGTTAAGCGTTCTAGAGGACGGCAGGATGCAAAAAACCGGCAATCTGAGGATTCCGAAAATGTGCCTAAAATCAAAGATCAAGGTCCAGGTCATGCTCAAAATTGACCTCAAACTTTCCACTTTTTCGTACATCTTGCGTGCTAAATTCCCAGATGTTTTGAATTGTTTTGAGGCTTATCAGGTCCCTATTTGTGGTTCATCTTACGATACAAGGCTGCTCAAAGGTCAAGGTTACAGAAGAGTATCCTAGCTAAAGGCTATTTTACTGATTCAAGTTAGTAATAATAAATAAGACAGTTTTGCCATCCGAAAGCCTTAAAATTATAAATGAAGGTTTAGAGGAAAATAGATACCAGATTGGTGTCAGCGGCACCGAATCTATCATACACGACCTTTCATGTGTCAAGGTCAACCAAAGGACATTCGGGGTCACATGAGGTCAACATAAAACTTGACCGTTTCCAAACAAAATATAATACAAAATATAAATTTCACGTTTCCAAAACAAATGTTTCCAAACAAAAAAAAAAAATAAACAAAATATATCATTCGAAGCGACTTGACAGGGCGATTGCGATGGTACCACTGCCGTAGCTTTACGACCATTTTTGTTGAAGGTATTTGCAAAAAAAAAACACCGCTTGCGGTCGTTGACCTGACCTCTTGCTTCAGGTCACTAAAACTATTTTTCTATTTTTCTATACATCGACCGCTACACAATCCTGCTCGTAATTTGTCTTTATCTCTAAAACGCTATTTTTGACAGCTGTTTCAAGTTCACGTATGTAAAGCCGAAGTTTGCTGTGCAGGGGTCTAACAAAATCGACCCTGGGACGTCATCAAGGGGGCTAGGTCCAAATTTTTTACTTCAGAAGATGTCAAATTGATGGGAAAAAGGCACTGAAAGTTTCGTTTTCCTATCCCTAAGAGAGGAAATATAGTAAGTGAATATATTAAAAAAAGACAATTCCTTACATAACAGCTGACCGGTTTTGCCTAAAACGACTTCTTCAGCGCTTAAAAAACAAGCGCTGAAGAAGTTTGTTTAGACGGAACCGGTCCGGTCTTAGATATATATTTTTTAATATATTCATTTACTACTTGCTCTCTACTATAGGTCGTTGGTACAGTCCACAGCAGAAGTAATGTGCGGTTTCAGTCATGGGCGTCATGGGTATGTTCTGCTTCTAATCTGAAGCTTAGGAACGCTTAGCCAGACTTCGATGAAACTTTGAATGTAGCTTACATGTATTGTCACCCTTGCAGCTGAAAGTTTAACTATTGACGTCTTCTATTCGATCACTCCGCATTTATAAATCGTCAGTCAAAGCCATCCGTTGAGATTGGTAAAACCGCACATTACTTCAGCTGTTGGCTGTACACTCGTCAAATATATCTGCATGATGTCATCAATCTATGTTTTTACTTTCTTCTCGAAGCAGTCTGGTGTTCAAGAGCCTCACGAGCTACCTGCGCTCAAAAAAGTTACTTAAAAAACGCCCAAGAAACGGTGCGAAACTGAGTGTTTTAACATTGTATCAGAGCTGGGCATTGCGCAACTTAAGTCCGCAACTCCGCAACTCCGCAACTTGCGGACTACCCTCTTGGTAGCGGAGTTACGGATCGGCTACCGAGCCCAAAAAAAGTTGCGGAGTTGCGAGTTGCGGAAGCGAAAAATTCTAAAGCGCAACCGCTACCGGGGCCGCCACCGCTGGTGGGGGCGCCACTGTACTCTTTGCACTCCACTGCACACTGCACGTGTTTCCAGGCTAGTTTTTGAAGCTGATTTCGAATTTAATGACCGTTTGAACATTTACGAAGTAGTTTTAGTGCCTTAGTAACATGTTACGAGGCTTTCAGTGGTGGTTGACACTGGATAGGCGGTAGGACGCCTACTGGTTGACCTGACCTGACCTGACCCGACCAGGCCCAAATGCATGAAGGCGTCATCTTTGATCAAAACCAACATGAAATTTGTTATCAGCGCCCCCCAAAAAAGCATAAAAGCTTCACTTTACGAAGTTCTAGCAGGTCCGATTTTCCCGACTTTTGGGTCATTGACCTGGCCTGGAAGGTCAACAAATGACCTATGATGACCTTAAAATTGGGTATCATCGGCTTCCTCTCGTCACGGGCAACACGCTCGTTTTTTCCCCGCGAAGCTCTAGCTCGATCAGGGGCCGAACGGCAGGGGGGGGGAGGGGGTCCAACCGACGCACACGTTAGACGCTGTAAAACACCGCACACAGCGAGGGTTAAGTCAAATTTTATGGTCGCCAGCACGGGGCCGGGGGCGGGGGGGGGGGTGTTTGGACACCCCTCCGTAAGGTTTTCCGCAAATATATAAAAAAGGCGGCGGCAGCGCGGCTGTTTTCGACACTGCTATTAACACATCCTTTCCACTCATTGTATCAACATGTCAGACCCAGGTCACCTCAGGTCAGGTCACCAGGTCAAGTCAAGGGACCCAATATCCGAAAAAAATTAAACACCCGCCCTAGCAATACAGGGCAATATAGCAATATAGATACACCTATTGACCGATATCACTTTGAGACTGTCTGCATGTGACAAGGGTAACAAGATATAGGTACAAAGTGTATTGTCTCATATTTTTTTTAATATGTGTGACTTAAGGTAAGGTCAACTGTGTGACCTCTCCATTATAAGTCAATGGGAGAAAATACAACTCGTCCGGATTTGCGGCAAAATGATCCCAAACAACTAAAACATGCAAAGAGTAGCACTGGCAGGTCATTTACGTCGACTGGTGTCGCAATGACTTGCGCATAGAGCATTATAGGTCACGTGACGTCATCAGAGGTCACCAACAGTCAGGTCACCAACAGAGGTCAACCAAAGGTACTACCTGTCAGACATAACACTGCACTTCAAGACTAAAACTGATAAAACATAGGAACCTAATAGAGGTTGGTAGCGGAGTTGCGGAGTTGCGGAGTTGCGAGTTGCGGTTTTACGATCTGCAAAATAGTTTCGGAGTTGCGATTGCGCTTTGGGTACCTTAGGTTGCGGAAGGTAGCGGTAGCGGTTTCCAAATTTCGGTAGCGATGCCCACCTCTGAATTTGTATGGGCATCTCTATATTATAAGATCTCTATGATCATGGCACTTCTTTAACACGAATTAGTGAAACTTTGTCAGCGACTGGCCGAGTACTCACGTTTTGTTGTTTTGATTCTGCAGCTCCTTGTTCTTGACGTACTGCGTCAGGTGTTTCCGGACCTCTTGCGCAGACAGCGGAGTGCCCTTGGCGATCTTCAGCTCCTTGAACACGGCCGCCACATTGCCGCTGACAATGTACAGCTCCTCCACCCGCTCAATAGCCTTGGACCTGCTGGGGCCGGCCGAGTCGGGCTCCGGCTCCGGCGACTCGTCCCGGCAAATCTCCTGTACCTTGTAGGAGCGGATCTCCGGGTGATCCAACCGTACAGAGACAATGCTCTGCACTCCTTTGGAGAGTTCCTTCACCTGCACCAAACCGTCCTTCTGCATCTTCTCTAGGAACTTTGAGATCTTCTTGTAGGAGGACTTTTTGACGTCGAGTGGCCGTTGACTGTTGGGCTGCATGTGTTGAGCGTAGAAGTTTGATACGAGCACGGGAAGTTCGATACGTTTGGCAGTGGTGCGCCACGCCTGTCGGAAGGCGTCGTACAAGAGGTCGTCCATACTGGCGGGCGTCGGCGGCTCCGGGGCAGGCTCGGGCTCGGTAGCGGCCGGCGGGTTCTCGTCATCGTCCTCCACACGAAGGTTCTGGAAGCTGAGCGTCGTCGTCCCCTCCGCGTCATCTCCCTCCGCAGGCCCTTCCCCAGCCTCCCCCGCGCCCGCCGGCCCGTCCCCAGCCGCTGTGCCGTCTCCAGTTCCACCCTCACCGTCCGCTGTTCCCCCGTCCGCCTTCCCATCCTCGACGTCATCTCCCCACTCCTCCTCGGGCTCCCCGCCGGGCGCGCCCAGCTCGGGCGGCTGTCTGCGGGTGCCCATTTCCCAGAGTAGGTCCCCCACCACGTGTACCATCAGCACCGCCTTTCCCCTGCCGCCGGACATGTACAGGTCCTGACTGTCGCGCGCCGCCCAGCCCACCGCCACCGGCGCGCGGTTAATCTCAGTGTTCACGGCCACAGGCTGTCCTTTATCGAGTTTCCCGAACGCCCGCGCTCCGCAGTCCTTCTCTCGGACGATAACGCCCGGTAGCATGAGGTCGGCGCCGCCACGCAGCTTCTGCACCACCGGAGCGTACGTGGTGAAGGCATAGAGCAGGTCCGGGTGGCGCCACAGTGTGTAAACGGTGGGCATCAGGCGGCCGCCGATGTCCAGCAGCACCGGGTCCCGGCCGGTGAGGTAGCAGACCACAGAGTCGCCCCCGTGGGTCACCAGACGTGACACGGAGACCTCCTCCTTGGTGGGGATCAGCTCTGCACAGGCCTCTGTGGTGAGAACAGGGAAGGCAGCTGCTATCTGACTCCTCAGCTTCTTCCTGATAGAAAGAAAATTTCATGTTAAAAATTAACTGTTTAGTTATTCTACTAGCATCATTTAGTAGCAACCAACGAATGAATTGTCATTTACTCATTCCTCCTAACAGCAACCAGTTCTACCTTGCCACATGACATTGCTAGATGATACCTATGAACAGTACCACACTGCTATATTATTAAAGGCAATGGTGAAAATGATAAATGATGAATGATCAGGTCTCCCACTCACTGACCCACTAGTGGCTACCACCTATATAGTCAAAGCTGCTGATCTGTGATCACCTCTCAGAATGAAATAAAAAATAACAACTTATCAATAAGAACTACAGCTATACCTAACAAAAGATGAACATATTTTTATAAGTTACAAAAAAAGTTCACTCAAGCCTATTGTCCCCCTAAAATGGAATGCTTACTTGATACTTCTGCCTTTCAGTCAACAGCCTAGATAATTTAAGAAGCCATATTTGCGGAGTCGTGGACACTCAAATTTGTCTCCAAAGATCCAGTCAAATTTAACCAGGGGATGAATAATTTATTACGGAGCGAGCGAAGCGAGCGTAGTCTTTCCTTAGATTAACGGAAATTTCTGAGTATGAGCGGCCGGCCGGCCGTGCGGACGCTTTTGCGAGGCTTATATCTCAGCAACCACTTGACCGATTTACATGCGGTAAATTTTGTAGGGTAGCTTCATTCCTTCTACCAAGTATTGGACTATTCCCGATGCATGTGGATGACCCCTTATGCACGTGCCACGTGTAAAACGAAGAGGTGTCAGTTTTGTAATTGTTGCAATATCTCGGTAACTACTTGGCCGATTGCGCTGAAAATTGGCATGTAGATAGGCACCCACTAGGCACTGCATATCCATGTGCCAGAGTTGGGGTGCTGCTGCACGTGCGCACGTGCAGGGGTCGTTTCCAGATCTCGAGAACGGCTGGACCGATGGCGCTCAAATTTGGTACACGATTAGGGACCAGTTAGTAGGGTGCCGTGCACAAGTCAGTTGGGACCCATTTTGCACGTGCGCACGTGCAGGGTGCCGCTTCCAGATCTCGAGAACGGCTGGGCCGATTGTGCTCAAATTTGGCACATCGCTAGAAACCGGTCAGTAGGGTGCCGTGCACAATCAGTTGGAGGTACCCCCTCGAAATTTCACACGTGCAAGACTCACCCCCTCGCTCGCTCCGTTAGTCGCCCCAAAAGGCGCTATACTGGTTTAAGAAGCACTGAGAATGGTGGGTAGGTAGGTATGTTTTAGATGTCTTGTCCCAAAATACTGACCTGTCAGATCCCTTGATCTGTGAGTTGGATTTTACTCTGAATGGCTTGAGGAACATCTTGCTGAAAAAGTGAGATACACAGTTATTCCAAACTATGGAATGGTTACATCTGCATTATCATTACCGGCCAGACACAATTTCTCATTTTGATTGAGCACAAACATAATGGATATAAGCGTCACATCGTTCTCCACTGACATAGTTACACTGGTGTCATTATTGTTCGACTCTAAAGCAATAGGTATTTTCAAGTTGGTGAAATTTTGGGTAAAATAAAACTTCATGAGCAGTGAATGAGTCACATCTTGCTGTTGCCTGTTGAAATTACAATTTCATGCATTAAGCAATGCTTGAAAATCAAAGGAACCAAAAGGGTTTTCAGGTTGGAAAAGCATTCAATATTATAGAAGTAATAAAAATTGAATTTAATATTGTTAAAACGAGCCCCAGGGTTCACTGCTCAGCAGGCCGAACTTGACATTCGGGGCCCTGTTTCACCGGTGATAGCAGCATACTACTATCAAATTGTGCGAGCTGACGTAATGTGATGACGTCATACTGCTGACGTAAGGGGCAATTCTGGCGCACGATTGCCGCAATATTGTTTTACGTCATCAACTAAATGTTCGAAGTTTACGTCCAAATTTTCCTTAAACCCAACTTCTTTTAAATACATCATATTTAAAAAATATATAATAAAGATAAATATACTATAATGACTGCGTAAACTCTTACTATTAGTCTCATACGTCACTTAATGCCGCGGCCAAGGTCGCGGCCATCGTGCGCCGGAACTGCCCATAACGTCAGCAGTATGGCGTCATGACATGACGTCAGCTCGCGAAACGTGATAGCAGCGTGCTGCTATCACCGGTGAAACAGGGCCCTGGAATCTGGACTTGGACTCTTTCAATAGTCAAAAAACCAAGACATCGACTGCACAAACGCAATCGATTCTTCTCTTCAAGAGTTGTGGACCAATGGAACCAACTGCCTGAACATGTGGTACTGAGTCCAAACATCAACACATTCAAAAACAGATATGATCGTCATATGACATGAGAAGAGGCAGCATCCCATGAGCATCCGCTCCCTATGCCTCTTTTCTACTATTGGTGAGCATCAATAGTCACAGAATTTCAGCTCAGCTCATTGAGAACAACAAGAGAACAAGATGCCACGAATATGAAAGCTATGGAAAAATAATAAATTAAATTAATTATCACCTTATAAGAAGGAATTGTCAGTTAGAAATGGCAAGAGAAATGGCGCAATCGTAACTCCTGCGTGGGAAATGGAACAAGCGTTTTATGTGCCTTATTTTGCTGCTAAAATTATTCATAACATCACTGTCTAACAAAAAAAAAAATCAATTCCCACTCAAACGGGTCATTGATGATAATGATAACTATGAGTGGGCCTAAGCACTTTCGGCTACAACTCAATTTCTCACACGTATTCAAGCAAAGTTGCTGCTAATCCCACGGAAATGCTGCTCTTTTTCCAGTGACTGGTGTCAAGCGGCACAGCATACATTTAGGCGTTTGCTGCTGGTGCCATCTAGCGACAGGTATTTCATATACCAGCGAGATTCTTGCAGTGAATCAATAATAATCTGTCGGCCCTTCCGGGGTGGATTTTTCACAACTATTCCTTACGGGACAAACCCAGCTGCACCCAGAGTATCCTGTACCTTCCCTTACACTAGCGTTTCCTGGCTGACCGTCACTCACATCAGACAACCGGTGCCCGTTGGGTGTAGTCTGCTTGGACTTCACCCTCTGTACAGAGTCTGTGGGTGAACGTTTCGAGTGGCAGGACGGGCTGTTCCATTGGGACATTCCGTCCCACCGGGCAAGCCACCGGGACGCTTTCTACCAGTGCCGCGCTGACGATGATCCGCTCAAGTCCCATATCTTCGCAGTATCCCACTATCACATATATTCCGTGACAAAGCTCTGCAGAAGCCCTTTTGGGCCGAAAGAGCATGGTCCCGGAGAGCCTACGGTATGCATTACAAAAGAGAAAAAATCGATTAACGTCTATCGGATGGTCATTGCGGTAGAACTGCAACGTCACTTGTTATTCTGTACTCTTTGGGCAGTGATTAATTCCCAGGGGAAAACTCAATCCAAGGAGACATCCTTGTATTTCAAGGAGAGCTGGTAAGTCACCCAACAAATGTGACCGGTATGACATAATTAGCGTATCGGGATTCAAAAGGCATAAGCCGAACACTGACTTGTAGCAAACGGCACACGGGAACAGTGAACACATTACACAATCGCATCCGTGTCGTCACAACCGCATCATCCCACGTAGCTAACCAGCATAAACGATCAGCACTGGAAGTCACTGAGACCCAGCTCCGACTTTATCGTGACGTCATTGAGGCTCGTCATTAGCCGGCGTTTCATGCACAGCCTTCACCGCAAAATACCCTCCGCCGGCTGCGAACCATCTCGTCACACAGCTTCACGTCACTCATCAAACGCTCACAACAAAACTCACAGATTCCAAGGCAGTTTACCACCGCGACGCGAGACATCAGCGATGCGAAACAAATCCACCATGGTCATTGGTCAGTCGTCACCGGCGTCCCTGCCGGTATCCCGCCCCTGACAATGCCCCGATGCCGGTACGGCCCCGGCGCCGGTCACCGGGTGGCTCCGGGAGGTCTCCGACGCTGCCGCTCCGCCACGGCCGCCTCCCACTCCCGACGGTGCGTCTGGTAAATCTGCATGGTGGCGCGCGCGTCCTGCACAGAGTCGTGCTCCCCCTTCTGAATGTCGACCGCCAGCACCTTCATCGAGAGGTTCTTCAGGCTGGGTATGCCGCCGTTGAACATTTTCCGGAAGGGCTTGTAGCTGGCCGTGTCCCGGGTGTGCTTCTTGGGGTGGCTGAGCATCAGCACTTTGAGGTCGTTGTAGACGGCGTGACCGACCAGCACGCGGCCTTTGAGCAGCGCCGCTACCTCCCGCTGCACCACCTCAAACTCCTCACCTGAAAAACGGGACACGTCACACTGCACGGCCAGTCTCAATCTAGTACACCTTTCCGGTTGAAGATGACCGATGACGTTCCTTACAAGATGCAACGCAACTCAGGTATTGTTTACAGTACTCGTAACAGAAGGTATGTCAATAGTTATTCGTTAGAATTGTGTTTTTCTATTGAAAATCAAATCTGAGTTCCCTGACAATTTGGCAAAAGCTACCTGAGATCAGGTACATATGAAGAAGCACATGCAATTTGTTTGCTTTCCAAACCAATGTAGAATTGGGAGCTTTAAATGTGCTTTGCACCTAAAACACTTTGTCGCTGGAAAGTTAAATACCGGACACTATAGAGACAGACAGAATAAGCGCGAAAGCAAAATTCATTGACGAAGCCGAGCTATAATGCGCCAGCTAGCATAAGCAGCGGTCGCCACCTGGCGCCCGTTCCTCAGCCGATGAGCCTCGGCGACTCGGACTCACCCTTGACGAGGTCCTTAGGGCGGACGCCGGAGACGAACGTGCGGTAGTCGGTCACCTTCTCCTTGGGCTTGACGAACTTATCGTAGACGGGCTGGCAGAGCGAGTTGACGATGGAGACCCTGGCTAACATGTTCTCCTGGCCACTCTGACCGACGCCGACCATCTCGCAGTCCATCGCCAGGTACCGCGACGGACTAACGAAACGATAAGCGGGAGGCACAGCGGAGGTGAGAAGAGTTCTAGTGAAGCCAAGATGCCAGTCTACACATATTATAATCCATCTCTGATATTGCTGGGAGCATTACCAATCAATGCGAAATCTGACGTCACAATGCAACAATGGGCCCTGTTATGAGCGAAAGTACGCCCTCTAAGCTAAAAAAGTGACAACTTTTGTAATCAATAAAAACTACCTATGCTAGAAACGAAAACCAGCAATCCCACCCCTCTCCTATTAACACTTACAGCGGCGTTTTGGCGCTGGCCAGTTGGCTGGCCTCGTCTCGCTCCCCCTGTTCTCGCTGCTGCTCCTTGTCGCGCTGTTTCTGCTCCCTCTGCCGCTGTTTCTGGCAGAAGTCGCACGGCGGCCGGTCGTCACGCAGCAGCGACGGGTCCACGCCGTCAAACCACACCGGTGGCGGGCACGAGCAGCCGCGCTTGGCCAGACCGCGCGGCCGCCGCCGGGCGGCCGGCGGCTCCGGCGCAGGACCGGCCGCCTTCGCCGCCTGCCGGTCAACCGAGGACATAATGTCAGAGGACACCGCCAGACGCTCCACCGAGGACTGGACGGGCCTGGCCTGTGCGACAGTGGGTTCGTGACTAAATCTCCTCCACGACCATGACTACCTATCGGGTGAAGTCGGTACTCGGTACACCACATCACATTGAAGCTGTCACAATCAAAGTACCAACGATTCCTGGAAAGGTGGCTCTTGTCACGGCGATCGGCGCGGTGATGGCTGCATAATCCATGTCAGCTTTTCTCAGAAGAAGCATGTCATTGCAGGAGTTCTCCTGAATTACCATTCAAAGGAAACATAACATCAGCACTCAATATTATCAACGGTACATGTAACTTTCTGGGAAGATGAAAGAGCAACAAAAAGTAGGTACTTAAGATAAAAGCAGATTTACCAGGACAACTTTAGTATAGTTGGCTAGCAAGTACTATCCTTATGGGTAACTCACCAACACAACAATAGTGGGCAACTCTTGCAAAAAGGACAAGATCAGACCAAAGAGCCCATAAAGAATGAGATAAGGTATCTGAAAGAAAACCACTATTCAGAACCATATCTCAGCATAAAGCAATGACTTAAATTGTTCAAATCACAGTTTTAAGCTGCCAAATGTCACTCTAACCAATTATGCTATCAAACAAGTCACAAGTAAAATTACACACCTACTTGCTCAAATATGCAGGCCAACTAAATAGACCTAGACCTAGAATAGAACAGGATAAACACAAGAGAAACAGGCTAAAATGTTCATTTGTAATGTGCAGACACAGTCATATTCAAACTCATTTGTACACTGCAGGCCTTTCATAAAGACACCTACCCTTCAATTAGAAGCACAAATAAAACTAAAAACTAGGATTACAATAGCTTTAAAAAACACTTCCCAAAACCATGAGTATCATGAGCATTTAGCATGTTGATTATAAATCCAGCTCAGACCTCTAGTCACTAAGTGATCCATGCCTCCTTGAATGCCTAATATCTGCAATATTTAATGGCTATTGAAATTATAACTGAAATATTGCATTATGCTATTTATTCCATTCTTAACCTGTAAGAATGATTTCCAGTTGGATGAGATGTCCTCATTGGTGACAGGCTTTGGTACTGCTTTCTCTTGTACGTTGGCCAACAGCTTTCTTCGTGCAGAAGACTGCTTAGCCTGTCCTGTGGGATTCTTGCTGATAGGCTTGGGCTTTTTAGGAGGGGTTAAAGCCTTGGAAATATCAGGCTCTTCCCCTTCAACTCGTTTCTTAGCCTTCGACATTTCAGGTCTGAAAAATAGATTGTGCTATATTAAAATATGCAATATGCAAAACAAGGCAATGTTCGACAATGAGTGGGTAAACAGTTAAACTGTATTTTACATTGTGCCCTACAATTCTTAGACCATGAAGAGCAATTCATCAAAAGCATTTTATAATGGTTCAATAGAAGCCATTTAATCAATCATCTCCAAAATTCCATCAAGTCAAAGTAGCATTGTTTTAATCATTTCTGCTTCAAATACCTCAAGTTACCACTGATCATTGAGTATCAGCTAGACATAATCATGATATCATTGACAGACATGTGCTTGGATCCGAAAAAAATGGATCTGGGAGCTGATTCCACGGATCCTGATCTTGGATCCGTCAAATCCAATGCGACCAAATAGCAGCAGAAACATTGGGCCTGTTCCATTGGCTCCTCTAACCTCCTCAAAGCTCCTCAAAGCTCATGAAATCGTTCCAGTGGCTCCTCCAACCTCCTCAAAGCTCCTCTGAAACTCGCCTCAAACCTCCTCTAACCTGATCCGAAATGAAAGGGTGTTTTTCTGAGGAGACTATGGACGACACAAATGGCGCGGCAGATACAAAATAGGTGCGCCGTGCTGCCTAGTTATTGGCGTGCGTAATTATCGGATGAAATTAGGCAACTTAGCCAATATTCAAACAAATTTTATTACATATTTCATTTTTGGTCTACTATGTTAGACATGAGCTTGGGTGAAATGCGCCAGGATTGCAAATATTTTCTTTCCACAAACAGCTGATACCTCCTCCGAACTACGTTCCAGGGCCCTGTTTCACCGGTGATAGCAGAGGCCTCTTGCACCAAACTACCTAGCTAGGTAAAATAAAAAAACGGTTTCAGAATAAGCTAATCTAACAGTGGTAAATTTGTTTACAATAGCCCAATACATTGTCCTACATGTGCTTGCTAAATTTTGCACACAAATTGTTACATTTGAGACTTGGACTGGGTATACGATGCAAAATAATCCAAGCATTGGTGCAAGAGGATTTTGGTGCAAGAGGCCTCAGCACGCAGCTTTTACACGTGTCAAATTGGGTTTCCATGGAAACATCAACAGGCCCATTGCTCCAACACTACCACAAGTGTGACGTCAGCTCGCGCAATTTGATAGCAGCGTGGTAGCAGCATCCCGTGAAACACCGCCCTGTGGTCACCAAAATCGGGACGAAATACGGCCTCCTCCAACCTCCTCAAAGCTCCTCTCATCTTTTTTCTGAGGAGCCAAAGGAACAGACCCATTGCATAGGTACTGATTTTGGAATCTTAACCCGCGCCCTGCTGGGGGTCCTGGATTTCCACGCCCTGCTGGGGGGGGGGGTGTTTGAACACCCCCCCTTCTAACTCGGCTCCTGGGCCACGTAGCTATACGCGGAAGGCGGCGTTCGAAAGAGCGTCAAAAATAATGAGGAAATCACTTCGGTCAATTTTTTGGTCAGGTCAAAGGTCAGGTCACCAGAGGTCATTGAAGGCAAAATTTCGCCGATTTCCAGGTCGAATGTCGAAAATTTCCAAGAAGCCAACGCATAACTCGGGAACCAATAGAGCTACAGCGCCGCAGAAAAGCGCATTCGATAGCCCTATTAACGCCCTTTCTGAGTAATTCTCTCAGATTTGACCTACCGTCAACGGTTTTGCCTGCAGGGGGCAAAAACTGCAAAAATAGCCGATTTTTTCGGAAACAGTTTTTCTGCAATAACTTTTGACCCAAGCCTTGTACGAGCTTACTTTTACCGGCATCGTGTTCCTCTCGTCAAGACGCATCGAATGAACTATAACTTGACCTTGAAAGGTCAACTTGAAAATTTGACCTCAGGTCAAGGTCATGACCTGACCGGAAAGGGTCATGTTGCATATCAGTCGATCCGTATCGTCGAGCTGAACACATCTAAGGCGTTTTCATCGCTCTAGCATGCCTCTATCAAAAGTTATTTGCGAAAAACTGTTAGATACCATTCGTGACCTAAGATGACCTCGGGGCATAAACAGGGGTCACGGACACCATTTTCATGTTCAGTGTGTCTAAACCACTTGTAATTCAGTGTTTGGGAGTGTTTATAATGTCTTTCGTCCAAAAGAGGCGCATTTCAATTTTCTCCCATTGACTTATAATGGGAGGTCGCAAAATTGACCTGACCTTAGGTCATCGATATCAAAATTCTGAGATATACATTTTGTACATGCTATTGCTCTTAGCAATCGCTGAAAGTTTCAAAGCGATCGGTCACTCGGTGTAGCTATGACAGACATTGAAACTTTTTATGAGGTGAGGTCACTTCAAGTGACCTGGTGACCTGACCTTGAACGACCTTGGTCTGAAATTTTCACAACATGTGTAGAATGGGGATGTTCGCGCTAAGAGTTCCGAAAAGTCTCGCCAGGTGGCAGCACGGTATGCTTTGGACACAACGCGCCGGCCGGGCGCCGGCCGGGCCGGGGATAACACTGCGGGCGGCGACGGCGGCCGACGCGCCGCGAACGGAAACTGCGTTTCATGTCTTTTTCAGGTTCATCATTTTGCTAAAATGAGTAGCTACGGCTGATTTCGCTATTAGGAATACAATGACGCGTGTGAAAGGCAAACTACTACATCGTCATTGAACGGAAGGAAAGGGAGCTGATCGAATGGTCACCAAAAGCTACGGAGTACGAATGATTCGATGTTATCACATATTTTAACTTACACAGTTGAAATAAAAAACCTTATTACATTCAGACATATATTCACACGCATGAAAGTAATCGATTTACAGCACACATTCCATGACAAGAACGCAGTTCATGTCGGTCTTAAGTTGACATGTAGCGCTCGTCACTGTCAGATAAGTCAATCACATCCCTGTTGTTTCTACAGACTATTCACTTAACCCTTCATCCGGCATGCGTTCATTCTGTAATGATGGGCAACGAATCACCGGCGATTTCTGCGTGGCTCTATGTGACATCCAGCATCCTCGTCCGTTCCCCAGGTCATTTGGTTCGGTTACTTTCAAAGTATAGCAGGCCCTTCCTCAGTCAGGCTTGATGGATCCACCGTCACTTTGCGCGGTACTTTTAAGACATACCGTACGTACCTACTACCAATACGACTGACTGATTACAATCTGATGCGAAGGGGACGATATCTCGTCGGTCTATCAATTATTACGAGCGAGCGAGCGCAGCGAGCGAAGTGAGTCTTTTCAATATAACGGAAAAATCTCGGTATGAGCGGCCCGGCCCGGCCCGGCCCGGCCCGGCCTGTAACGCTTTTGAGAGGCTTACATCTCAGCAGCCGCTGGACCGACTGGCCTGCGGTCTTTTTTGTTGGGTAGCCCCATCCCTTCTACCCCGTAATTGACTACTTTTGATACATCTCAGTGACCGTCGTGGCACGTGCCACGTGAAAAGTCAAGGGTGTTCAAGCTGTTTTGCAAAAGTAGTGATTTTGAGAGGCTCATATCTCAGCAGCCGCTTGGGCGATTGGCTTGCGGTAAATTTTGTAGGGTAGCAGCATCCCTTCATCCCTTCTTGCTGATGTCATTTGTAGCAGCAGTGACAGTGGTTACTTCAAATCACAGGATATTCTGGTAGCATCCATGCTCTGGAATCTGGATCATTCTGATCAATGCAGCATTTGCACCTGTGAATAAATGAAAAATGGCATAAGACAGTAGGAAAAGATCTTGGCAAGTCATAGTGAGATATACATGTTTAAAATGCATGGATAAAAGGACATTACATACTGAAGCAATGAGCAAAACTCTGCAGTTTAAGCACAGTTGAAATCTGATATGATGACCTGTATACAGTGACATCATCAAGACCCATGAACTTAACACAAAGTATTTGCAATTTTGAAATGCACTTTTATCGTAGGTTGCCTATGAGGGTGAAAATTTATTTTGAAAAGCAACAAAACACTTGCCCGCATTTAGTTGCTAAAAAAGCTGAATGAATATTTTAAAATAGTGTTCACTTCAGTGTGAATGAAAACTTAAAGTAAACATTTATTTACCTGACAAAATGAAGATGTTTTATCAATGATGAGTAGCTTTAGGTGGTGCTGAGTAAAAAAAAAAACATTTTGCAAGAAAGGCTATCAGTTACTTCTGGATGATATACTGCATTGCGCAAGCTGTTCACCAACTCCTACCTGGTCTTTCACTGGGATCCCTCTGTATGCCCCTCAGAACTTCATCCGCAGGGCTGGTTCCTTCTACGCAGGTCCTCTGCCTTCCTTGATTCCTCGGACTCCATCCTAACAACTCCGCACCAGAAGCATGACTGCACTGGGCACCTGTAACACCATGTAGGATGATCAATGTTTGCAATAATTCATAAATAGTAGGTAGCTTAGTGTTCTATTGCATTTACCTCCTAGTTGCTGGTGTCAAAATAGATACTATTTGTCCTTTTCCATCATAAACTTTATCTGCATGCAATATCTTTGGTACCAGACAAAGTAGAACACTGCTAAGAATGCTTGCAATGAATCTTATAAGAATGCATTGAATTTATATGATCATTCTCAGCAGCATGTATCATCTTTTAATGCCTTTCTCCAAGGGCAAGTCAATTTCCTATATTGATATGCCCACAAACTTATACAGGTGAATTACTTCACATGGGCAATACAAGATCCAGCTATAAGTTAGACTATTTTATACTCTAAGTTATGCTCACAAAAAAAATGTATGGAAACGTGTTACATCCATGGGATTACCTGTACCGTTCGGTGTCGGTCTATCTTCGGCTTCTCGCCTCTCTTTGGCTACGCCAGTCGCCAATTGAAGCCTTTCTAAGTCTCCTGTCCTTTGTAAACTCACCTTTCCATGTTTGTGACACTTGCAGAATATAAATTCACAACCCATCTGAGCAAAATTCAAATTAATTACTATCAAATTCACCGAAATTCAGTCCCTCGAACCGACACCTCACGGACTTCACATAGTGCAAAACACAGTGGCGCATTCGCCGCCACAGTTTCTGTGTCCAAAGAAGGCAGTGCTGCCACCTGGTGAGGAAATAAGCCGAACATTCCCATTGATGTATGATAAGGTGTACCAAAAAGCGCCGCCGTTTTTGAGGTATTTGCGAAAAACCACAAGGGGGGGGGTGTTCAAACACCCCCCCCAGCAGGGCGCGGGTTAAACACCACAAAAAGCGACATTTGCCTCCTAAAACATCGACGAAAGCAAGCCCCACTGGGCAGATAATGTTAAATAATGTAAAAATATGAAAAATTTATCAATGAAATCCGCTTAGGACTTTATCTTGACAACTGTGATCTTGACATTCGATCTCCTAAAGTTCAGCGCAGTTCAGCGTTAAAAATAATTTAATAACGAATGCTGTTCTGGGCTCACGCCAAGTACACCATACATTCCAACGACTGATGCAGTGACACACTGACACAAAGCTCGTCACGTCCGGATCCAAGAGGCCAAAAGGCCTTCCTAAATTCCGCATTTTATAAGTATAAGTATAAGTATAAGTGTTCTGCTGCAAATTTGACCAGCAGCATGCTGCAGTTTCTCGGCTTTTCATTGGTGAAATCCACGTTGTCTATGCTAATCACCAATGAGATGCCGAGATATGCTAGCAGATGCAAATTCAGCAGACTGCTCATTAAATAAACAGAGAATGAAGGCAGCAAAGCTAGGCAATCTTTAAAAAACGTGCATTAAAAGTGACGTCAATAGTAAATACCTTTAAAGCGAAATGGCTGTTCATAAAGATGGCTTTAAGCTATTTTTATGTGCATAAATAACTATCTTTACACTTATGCTGACTCAAATTCAACTAGCCAGGGGGCAATTCCACGACAAATCACCTAATTTTTTTCCAATTGTTCACCATGACCTCTCCGATTTTGCTCAAATTTGGCATGTAAGTTGACCTATGGGCACTACTTCGTCCCAGTAAATTTTTAGTCTCTAGGTCACAGGGGTCATGAGATATGGGTCATGCAAATTTTTAGGTTTTCCGGAACATTGAAATATAAAGTATTTTTTATCTCCGAAACGGTTCACCGGATCAAAAAAAGTTATATATGAAATAAGAAGCGCAAAGGCTGGTGCGTCTAGCAAAAATGTGAACGAAACCCCAAGGTCATTTTTTGACCCTTTGACCTCGTGACCTTTTCTTGACCCCGTGACCTTTCAAATTTGTCCTATTTTAAAAATTCTGATTTTTTCTATCAGAGATGTCTTATCCATGCTCTTAATAGTGGTATGTGATTTGGTTGGTATATCGGACCCGTTGACCTCAAACTGAGGTCAACAATGTGGTCATGACCTGACATGAAAATGACATCTGCCGAGAACGTCGAGAATCATAGGCAATATGGGTGTCATATGAAAGCTTACTTCACGGAGAATGCATTGGTGGTGTTTTTGAGTAGGTATGGGCCGGGTCAAGGTCACATTAGGTCAGTGACCTAACACAGCATTGTGTTCTTTGAAGGTGGCGTATTTAATTTGTTTGGTAAGCCCAGTGATCAGCACACAATAAAAAAAGGAAACAAAGCGTCATAAAACATCGTCTGTCTTTATTCAAAAAGCACAGATAAAATGCATTCACCCATATACACACACTCGCACAAACACACGCACATACATACACCTTGTTCGAGGAAGATCTTTCAAACAAACCTCAGTAACACACGCGGTGTGAAGAACGAGTCTTAGAAGACTAGTAGAGCTTGAAGGCTGCTATGGTGTGGGAGTCGAGCGGTACAAAGCGGTGAAACGTCCTGGTACACTCGGGGGCTCGGGGGCACTACCTACTACCTACCCCTCACCGTGCGGGCACTTGTGAACCGTTCTCTTTCATTTTCGTCTTCGTTCCTGCTATTTGCGTTGCCGAAACGAAGAAGAAATGCATTTTATCGGTAAGGTGGTCCTCACAGTATTACCAATACCATCGCATGCGCTTTTGCCATGCGAGGTGGCAAAAAAATCCACTCACATTGAACACCGAAATCCTCGGCATGATGACATATATTTGCAAAATTGTATTTGTTCTTGTACTGGAACGCTGCTCGGACAGAGAAGTAGTGTATTTTTTAGTCTTGGGCATTCATTTCAAATGTGGGGAATAACCACTGCCTGAAATGCCGCTTCAGCTCCCGCGTCAGCTCCCGCAACGCAAATAGCAGAAACGAAGACAAAAATGAAAGAACGCTTCACAAGTGCCCGCATGGTGAAGGGTACCAGGACGTTTCACCGCTTTGTACTGCTCGACTCCAATACCATAGCAGCCTTCAAACTGTCCGAGTCTTCTGAGACTCGTTCTTCACAGCGCGTGTGTCACTGGGGTTTGTTTGAAAGAACTTCCTCGAACAAGGTGTATGAATGTGTGTGTTTTTGCGAGTGTGTTTATATGGGTATGTGTGCATTTTATCTCTGCTTTTTGAATAAAAAAGACGTTTTATGACGTTTTGTTTCCTTTTTTTATTGTGTGCTGATCACTGGGCTTACCAAACAAATTAAATACGCCACCTTCAAAGAACATAATGCTGTGTTAGGTCACTGACCTAATGTGACCTTGACCCGGCCCATACCTACTCAAAAACACCACCAATGTATTCTCCGTGAAGTAAGCTTTCATATGACACCCATATTGCCTATGATTCTCGACGTTCTCGGCAGATGTCATTTTCATGTCAGGTCATGACCGCATTGTTGACCTCAGTTTGAGGTCAACGGGTCCGATATACCAACCAAATCACATACCACTATTAAGAGCATGGATAAGACATCTCTGATTGAAAAAATCAGAATTTTTAAAATAGGACAAATTTGAAAGGTCACGGGGTCAAGAAAAGGTCACGAGGTCAAAGGGTCAAAAAATGACCTTGGGGTTTCGTTCACATTTTTGCTAAACGCACCAGCCTTTGCGCTTCTTATATCATATATAACTTTTTTTGATCCGGTGAACCGTTGCAGAGATAAAAAATACTTTATATTTCAATGTTCCGGAAAACCTAAAAATTTGCATGACCCATATCTCATGACCCCTGTGACCTAGAGACTAAAAATTTACTGTGACGAAGTAGTGCCCATAGGTCAACTTGCATGCCAAATTTGAGCAAAATCGGAGAGGTCATGGTGAACATGCCTAGGTGATCTGTCATGGAATTGCCCCAGGTTATTCACGTAACTTTTATCACAAGCCAATATGTAAGAACTCGAACAAGAGCACACTAGCTATGACGTCAAAATATATTTAGCTGATATTATTCAACAAGAGTATATGTAGCATGCATGCTAGTAGGCATTTGAACCCGGAGATTGACGAAAACGGCGCAATAATTTGAAGGAAGGACCTAGGAAAGGATTGAGTTAATGGGTTCTTAGCAATTTTTGATTACTTTGCTTTTATTGTATGTTGATGTGTATCGTCAGTAAATGCTCACAGAAATGCTCTTTCCAGTGTTATGGTCCTATGTATATCCAAATAATCCAGCCTTGAGCATAGGCGCGGGAGCCGGGGGGCAGCTTGCTCCCCCCCCCCCCCCCCAACTCTGGGGCCGTGTGGGGGCGGTGCCCCCACAGCTTTGAGACGGAATACCACACTTTTTTGCAAATGTTTTCTTTTTTTGTTGAAAAAGCCGAGGGTTGAAAAATAAGTGGCCTAAAACTGGTGAGAAAACTAGGTTTGGGAGTACCCTAGGTTAATCTCTATTATGCTGTGCCCCCCAGTCGGAAAGTAGTTTCCGCGCCCCTGGCCTTGAGTGTGCACCCGTGCATTAAGTGCAATTGTTTTTCTTGTATTATAATGTGTCTACAAAAGTACCTACTTATCAATATTGCAGCAAAACAGCCTATTAGTTTACATGAGAATTCTGAAAGTTGTCTCCTGCCAAAGGTTGTACTTGGATGGTAGGCATAGATAATTTCTCTTGTTGGAGTCTCCAGGTTGCAGTTCCACTTTCATGCGCATCATATGAGCGCGCTGCTGGCATCAGGTATTGGTATGGGTGCCCTGTTGTTGATGTGAGTTTTCGAAGCTTTGCTCAATTTTGAAATGCTTATGGGGAGAGTTTATTTATTTCAAGTTTAAAATAAGAACAACAATTGCTATTACACTTCATTTAGATAAGATACCCTACGTCTCAAATAGAATACCCACAAAGTTCAAATGAGCATGAGCATGACTAGGGGCACTTAAACCCTGGATAGTTAAAGTTGAACACAATACACATCACACCCTGCGACAGCACAGGGAAGATTGAAATGGCAGAGACTGTCACTCTTCAGTCATCATTCCCCATCCCCACTGCTGACGTCCAGAGGGGCCAGTGGTGGTGGATGGCCTGATGCGTCAGCCACTGAGTCCACAGGCAGCTGACTCGTACTCCAGTGCCTCAATGGAAGGAGCGACCATGCTCAGGCCTCAGGGTCAGCATGGATGATGGCGGCTGTGACGGTCCTGGTCTGTTGGCCTTGCTTGGCTAGCTGTGGCCAGCACAGAGGCAGCGCAGTGTTGCCTCTGGCCACAGCGATTGAAATACTTTGTGCTAGCCAGACTGTTTTCCGTGTGTCCCCGGTGCGGGACGTTCATGAGACCTGTGGCCGCCGGACCCAGAGCACCAGATGTCTTAACGGCGAAAGGAACGAAGACATATCTCTCTTGAGGAGTGGCATATCGGGCGCGCTTGCGTTCTTCCACACAGCGGGCTCAAGGCCGAACTGATGACGGCAGTTGCTGAGAAGGTGTCGCAGCAGGTCGCGTCCCATACCAGGGTCATTCGTCGGCTGAAAGGGAAGAGCGTTATCCATCGGGACGTCGGCGGTCGCCTCTGACAAGGCCGGTGGGCTCCAAAACACTGCTGAGCCCTGTGCTGCTGAGTGCCCGTCGCAGAACGTCATTAAGGTTAGCGTGGCGTGCGCGGCTGCCAGCACTCTTGGCACAGGAGAGACCGTGGTGGCCCAGTCGGTCAACAGGGCGACGGGCGACGGCAGAGCTGGCAGTTATGCGGTTCACATACCGGCGCCCCGAGCCGCAGCGCCACAGCTACCCGGACAGTTTCATCGTCCAGGTGGAGCCCCAGACTGGTGACGGGGAGGGTCTGCACCCAGGCGGCAGTGTGGGGCTCTGCGGCAGCAAGAAGACGCGCCCGGGCCACCTGGTTTGCCCTGTCCAGCAGGCGCTTCTGAGACATCTTAGAGAATGTCTCATCCCCAGCGCGCTGCTTGCCCTCTTCTGACGGGGCACCAGACGAGCGGCTTCGCCGAGCTTCGCGACAATATCGGCCTTGACACGCTGGAGTGCTTGGGTCGACTGGAAAGGCTCGGTGGCGTGGAGAATCTCTTGCGTCAGCGGCAGACAAGCGTGAAGGGATGCCACGTGACAAGGGCCATTGCCATCACCGACCGTGTTCCAGTTCTTCCGAAACGTAGTGGTAGTGACGCCCGTTCCCACGCTCCGTCATCGATTGCGACGTTAGTGACGGTGGTGAGAGTCCCCGTACTGTGTTTCGAACAACCAGCAACGACCCCGGCTCGCGATATAGCGGCGCTGGCCGCAGAAGATGGGTTAGCCGGGGGGCTGCCATGTAGTCGGTCAAAAGGAATAGACCGGAGGGAGTGAGCGTCAAGACAGCTGATGCGGGCACACATCCGGTCTATAACGGCTGCAGCCATGATCGTGGCGGCGGGCAGCACAGCATACTAGAGTGGCCCTGGACGGCGCTGGACGCTGCTAGGCGGCGCTGGACCGGCGAATGCGACATCGCACTTGTTGGCGTTCAGCTGCAGGCCAATTGTAGGCAGAGCTGTCGCCAGGACTGCTAGGTCAGCGGCAACGAGGTCAGGCGGACCTCCGATGGTCCTGTCGTCGAAGTACCACACGTTTAGTGGTGACCGCGTCAGTGTGGCCAAATTGGTTTAGCGTTAGAGGGAGGATGTATAAAAAAGTCGTATGAGGATGTCACTATTTAAAAAAAAGCTCGTCTTCAGTGTCATTTTAGGTGCAGTTTTTACAAGTTATGTGGGAAAACTATACCTGGCGTCAAGCTCTGGTGGAAAGTAAAAAAAAATCAAATATTGTCATCAAAGATGTAAAAAAAAACATTGCAAGGGTGACAGTACGAGTATGACGGTGTGAATCGTACATTGGAACATTTTTAGTCTTTATTCCTTCACTAGGTATGCTTTCACAACAAAAACGTTGTGATGATGTAATTTTAAAATTTCTGAGGATGTCATTATGCTTTTCATTGGGGGTGACTTTCCCCACAACATCACCAATTTGGCCACACTGGACCGCGTTCTTCTGATGATTGAGTCTAAAGCAAGAGCAAAAACCGCTTCCATTACCCTGTACCCTTCTAAGCAGTTCCTTTTGGAGCAGCATGTCCCTGTCCGATCAATAACACTTTGAGATCGACTTGGATGGGTGGTGCCGGGCACTGCTACTAGCCAAGCGTTGATTGAGTAGGCCGCTTTGGGACGGCGCTATAGCGGTCTGCAACAGCTCTGTAAAGCCGTAAAATAATGTATTCCAATTTCCAACAGCATCTGTGTTCCGCAATCTTGAAAGATAACGCCCCGGTCCGTTGGAGTGTTTTTGTCCCGTTCTTTACCAGCGACCGCCGTCCACCCGACGTGGACCGGTCGCGGCGATAGCGAGAAACGCGGCGATGTCCCGGCCTGTGCAAACGCAGATAAGGCTTGGAACTTGTGCCGTCGTTTGTCATACGGTACTGAACCTCCTTGATCTTTATATAGGTAGCCGACTCAGTGACCAGCGCCGGCCCCCAGCAAAGACGAGTGCATTTGAAGGTGTGATCTGTGCGGTAGAGGGGACGAGTGGCTGCCATGCCGGACGAAGAAAAGGACGTGGTCGAGTTGATTGGAGATTATACCGCCGGCCTGCTCGACAAGTATCAGCGCATTAAAGGTGGGTGCAATATAGTCACCTTCGACATCCGACTTGTGATAGGATACCCAAAAGATCGTTTTAAAAATCATTGGGAGTTTGCTGTACTAATATGTGATCAGAATGCTAATATCCAAAATTAGTCAACTTTATGCCGAATAGATTACGTTTGTTTATACTGGTAACACATTTTACCATCCTTATTTTAATTAATGATCTGAAGACTGTCCGTGTTTAGTATTGATGTTATCATTCGTAAGTCTTAATTTAACCATGGATGAGATAATAATGGATTGGTGTCTTCGCAGTTTTTGGCGACATTGAGCTCAGGCCTGCCATCTAGCGGGAGAATTATCGTAAGTTAGGAGCAAGCCGAGTGAACGCTGCTGATTAGCATTGTGACACACGGGAGTGTGGTGTAGTAGCAGGCTTGTTGTGCAATTTTTCAAAAGGTTATGTCTTTATATGTCAGTAAAAGTGAAGAAATTAATAGATTTATATGCAGGGTCAGTAATAAGATAAGTAGTTCCATGTTATTTCTTCATCAAATCGTGAAACAGGGAGTTATTGCAGACTTCGCCAGCACGTGTCGTTTTCGCTATTTTTCACGAGTCTTTACTTGGTCTAAAGGCCGCCGTCCACTGGTGCGGAACGCGTGCGGTCCGTACGGAATTTAACACAGAACCCTATGGGCGCATCCGGTCCGTACGGAAATCGTGTGCGCTCCGTCCGGACCGCATCCGAACGGCAATCAGCTGTTGATTTTCCGTCAGCTCTCCGCATGCGTTTCGGATGCGGTTGCTACGGAGACGGAAGAGTGATGTCCGACGCGTTGAACTTTTCCGCATCCGGAACGTCCGGAACAGACGTGGTTTGGGGCCGTGTCGGAGGCTAACATTGTGTACATTGTGAAGAATTGGAACTCGATCATCATGAAGTAAGTAAAAATTATTTCCTTAGAATGGCAAGAGTATTCGCTGCTGGTTACTTGCAATATTTCATTTGCTAATGAGTGATAGGAAACATTACTTTGGTTGCATGTTACAATTGGTGCATAGAGGATGCTTCTTATGATTTTTTTGGGTAAGCAGAGGGCATTTTGTTTTAATTGTACCACAAACACCACAATAAATATGCTGTTTTATGCATTCCAATGAGCGACAAAAAAAAAACATGCCTGTTAATTAGTAACAGGCAGATAAGTGGTGCCTAGAATATCGCACATTACCCTGAATTTCTGGAAGGGGTTCAGGCTGAGAAGGCTAGAGTGCATACATCTATGAAGCATGTTAGGTGCCAATCATATGATGTACTCATTTTCATTTTTGTAGTTAAAACCATCTGGAAATAGATTTGATGTTAGTTTGAAGGGTACGAGGACTCGCAGTCGCTACTGAGTGCATGGACCCAATATAATTGTTAGTAGGCATACAAAAGGTCTGAATAGGCTGGTAGGTTGCAGGTTAAATTGTAGAGGGTTGTTAGGCCTTATGCTGGAAGGTTTTAGGTTGATAGGTTGTAGGTTCGTAGGTTGAAAGATTTATGCTCGTAGGCTGGTAGGCAAGGTTAGGTCAGGTTAGATTATGCTTATATATTTGCTCGGAGTTCTGACTTTTCCTACACTTTTACCCCCAAGATGTGAGGTAGAAGTAAAGCAGGCATCACACTTGTTTTTTTTTTTTTGCAACCAAGGTGAGGTGCTATAGGTTGTTCAGTTGTTAGGTTGTAGGTAAGGTTAGGTCGTCAGAGTTGGTTAAGTTTGGTTTGGTTGGCTAGAAAGCATCTCTGGGTATAGCGCCTTTCCTTGGTTGCAAAAAAAGTGTGACGCATGCTTTATAACTACCAAGTACCAGATGTGACTTTCGTCCTGTATCAGTATAGCAGATTCATGGTTGATGAATGATATCCCCTGCAGTTCCACATGTGGTAGAACAATTGGCTGAGCATTGCTGTGCAGTTTCAACTGGGGTTTCCTGAACATACCCTACACAGTACACATAGTCATACAATTCATAGGTATTTAGTCCATTTTGCATGGATAGGTCAAACCAAAATGCAAAGGTACTGAATGGATTTGATTAGGATAATTTTATCAGCTTTGCTTTGCCGACAAGTTCCTGACAATCACCACCTACTCATGGTGGGTGCCTTCTTCCTAAGCATTTGATAATACTTATTGGTGTGCTGCCAATAGTAGGTATAACATTCCAATTTTGGGAAGGTTTCTAGGTTGTATTCTGTGTCTCTCACACATACCTGGGTCATGGGTGAGGGACACATAATGGGGTAGAATTGAGCACTTTTCCAAGCATTGTGCCATTTGTGGCAATATCACCACAACCATTAATCCTAGGGCTGTTTGAATTGCCCTTCTGAAGTAGATGTGGTGTGCAGTTTGAAATGTCCTTCTGAAGTAGGTGTGGTACCCAAGGCAGTGTCAGTGTTTTGAGTCAACATGTCATTTACATGTTTTCATGGTGTTTTCATAACATTTTGCTAGGTACCAATTTGTTTTCATCATTGGTTTGACAAAAAGATGGACCATTCAACACTGCTCGTGCTATGCCTCTCAGTCTCATAATTCCAAAACTTGGGTTTATATGTTTGTGCAACAGCTAAAAGATAACTTTAAACATTAGACTGGTCAACTCTCATCACCATACCAGAAAATTGTAATTTTCCATCACTGCCATGGGTCAAGTCACAGATGAGATTTATTTCCTACCTACATATACCAATATGCTTCATTGTATGTGTTTTTGTCTTTCTTATCTGTAAATGTATCATGTTCTCCTGTTTCAGCATGCCAGGTGACAGTGCACTGGTTTTATTTGTAAAGGAAAACCCGTGCTTGTGGCAGCCCAAACACAAGGACTATTTCAATAAAACTAAAGCCAGAGCATTATGGGAGCGGTGCGCAGCTACTACTGGCCGTGAAGGTTAGAACTGTTTGTGACGTTGCTATTAAGGTCACATTTATGTACATCAGCAAACTGAATAGCTATTAGCTGTACAGCAAACACCACGCATAACATTACAGATCAGGTTTGAAGTGTTGACAGTGATTGGTCACTTAAGTTGTCAGCTGTCCGCTTAGCTCTGGCTGGGGCCGCCAGTTAATAAAAAAGTATGATTAACCTCCGTCTTTTGAAACGCCTATCATCCATTGTTCATTCAGCACTCGCCATGCTATGTTATGCACCATGCCATATGTCTGTGCTTTCAGGAAATGAGGCGAAGAAGAGATGGCGCAACTTACGGGACTACTATACAAAGAGACGAAAACAGCAACCGAGCGGATCCGCGGGAGCGGTACCGCAGGACATGCCCTCTTGGATGAGAGAGATGGGGTTCCTGGACGACGCCGGTAACCCCAAACCGTGAGTTTTGCTGTATTGGGAACTGTACTAATTACCAATGTGATTTTTCTAGATGGCGTGCCATCGGCACATAGGTGGCAGCACATGACGTTCATATAGCAATCGATGCCTGGCATGGCCATTGGGCATGATAATTAGCTTCTCAGCAGCAGGTATAGTGATCGTTAGCGCGGCCGATTCAACCGTGGCGGCGCACGAGGGAGGCCGGCCAGACTTGTTCCCTTCCCCATTCCTAATATCCTGTGTCCCTAAAACGGTCTCATTAGATCATGACTTATGAAACCACACTGACAAAGCATTATAATTGATAACCATGGGATCCTCCGTTCTTCGTTCTTCGTTCTTCCTCATTCATTTACAGCCACACCGTTCTGCTTTTTTTTCACACCGTTTCCGTCGGCTTGTCCAATTGGATGGGCTCAGCCCCGGCGACTGAGTAGGATTCCTGCCCAGACCGATGTCTCCCCCTACTCTTTGCGATCGCCCTGGCTCTGCAATGGTCTCGATGGAGCGCAAGAGCATCACCCAACAAAGCAAAACAAACATCATGCATCCTTCGTGATTATGTTATCATCCTTTCCTTCACAGTGTGCTGACAAACCTGGGTGTTCAACAGTCCTCCACTTCCGATCCGAACGCGGTACGTTTCTGACCTTGGTTTCTTAACTACATGGCTACAGACTGGTCAAAGAGACCCTGGGAGTGGGGACTGTGTACTATGGTCCCAGCTTTCAGCAGAAGCTGATACTAAAATCTTTCATATCATATCCTCTGGAAAATTTTTGGTCACAATGTGTAGAATTGATGCATGGAGGGGTCCTGAAAGTTTGGTGGCGACTGGCGATATCTCCATCCGTTTAGGAGATATCGACGGAAAAGGACAGGGGGCCGTTTCGGCCCCCCCCCCCCCCCGACGGGGCGCGGGTTAATAATGGAAGTGAAATTCTTGCTTAGTATACAAGTGCAGTTCCTTCGACTTATCTACATGCACATTTTTCTCTCGTCGGACGGTGCTAAATCTGGTGCTGTTTCTGACCGGTTGTGCTCTCATTTGTTTGTTTCAGTCATTCGACTGGGAGGATCAGTTGGAGATGAGCGAGACGCAGTCATTGTTCGGCGACGATCAGGCTCAGTCCGACGACAGGTCAGGTAGGCAAGTGCAGTGAGGGCGCTGGGTACTTTTATAATGTGCAGTGTGCCGTGCACGAATCTTCAATCGATTTGGTACATTGGTGCAAGGATCTATTTGGCTATTGGTTTGATGAGTCTTGCATTGTTTGCGAGCATTCTTACAACAGGTGAAAACGTTCATCGCAATATCACGTGGCGGCTAGTCGCTCTGGGTTCTACTATGGACGTCAAACCCCTTGAGACCCCACTTTTTTGCGATAATTTTTAAATGCGTGAACTCTCATTGACGATATTCTGGCAATGTGTGTTTTAGAACCTGTCGAAACTTTTATTACTAAGGTATTTTGACGCCAAACGATCATGAAAGGGACTTCTCATTCACTCGTAATGTTAAATTTCACGGAACGAATCTGCTGTTTGGGTAAAGGATACGCGCTCATGGGGTGGAGCCACGTAATGACATCAGCGCTACGCTCCGCCCTACCCCTCCGGCGCTTCTTGCCCGGCGAC